CACACCCTGAAAAGCTGAAAATTTTTCAGAGGGGCAGCAATAGCTGGCACTTCTGTAAAAGAGCTCTTATGGGGTTGGGACAGATCAGAGAACACTTTGGAGGACAAGGAAAGGTCAGATTTTATGTACATGGCTTAACCCTGTAAGCAGAATTTATTTTTAAAGTGTTAGGCTTCGCTTACACCAGGGGTCGCCAAAGTTTTAAAAACTGGCCAGTTTACTGTCCTTGAGAGTTTAGGGTAGCTGGGCTATGGCCAATGGGAGTAGAAATTGGCCTGAAGTGAGAGTATATAATGCCCTATCTTTGGTGTCAGTGGGAGGAATAGTGCCCCATCATTTGTGTCAGTGAGAGGAATAGTGTCCCATTCATTGGTGTCAGGGGGAGAAATAGTGTCCCATCATTGGTGTCAGTGGGAGGAATAGTGTCCCATCATTGGTGTCAGTGGGAGGAATAGTGCCCCATCATTGGTGTCAGTGGGAGGAATAGTGCCCCATCATTGGTGTCAGTGGGAGGAATAGTGTCCCATCATTGGTGTCAGTGGGAGGAATAGTGTCCCATCATTGGTGTCAGTGGGAGGAATAGTGCCCCATCATTGGTGTCAGCAGAAAAAAATAGTGCCCCATCATTGGTATCGGTGGAAAAAATAGTGCCCCATCATTGGTATCAGTGGAAGGCATAGTGGGGTGGACGTGGTATACTTGGATTTTGCAAAAGCGTTTGACACAGTTCCCCACACACGGTTAATGTGTAAGGTAAAGTTTACAGCCTTGGAAAAATCCGTATGTAAATGGATAGAAAACTGGCTAAAAGATGGTATTCAGAGAGTTGTGGTTAGCGATTCATACTCGGAGTGGTCTAGGGTCATCAGTGGTGTACCCCAAGGTTCAGTGTTGGGACCCCTACTTTTTAATATATTTATAAACGATATCGGGTCTGAGATTATAAATCCCATTTCAGTCTTTGCAGATGACACCAAGCTGTGCCGTGGAATAACGTCCTTACAGGATGTCTCCAACTTACAAGCCGACCTCAATGCTCTGTGTAATTGGGCAACTATGTGCCAAATGAGGTTTAATGTTGATAAATGTAAAGTTATGCACTTGGGGGCTAAGAATATGCATGCATCATACATACTAGGGGGGGGGGTACAACTGGGGGAATCAATGGTGGAGAAGGATTTGGGGGTTCTGGTAGATCACAAGCTTAATAATAGCATGCAATGCCAAGCTGCGGTTTCTAAAGTGAGCAAAATCCTCTCTTGTATTAAAGAGGTATAGACTCCAGAGAGAGAGAGAGATATCATTTCCCCCGGTACAAATCATTAGTAAGACCTCATCTGGAATATGTAAAAAGAAAAAAACCTCAGCGCCCAGGATTCTCTTATTCCACACACTATTCTCTGTGAGATGCTGCTGTACACAGGTGCAAAACCAAAAAAACTTATATCAACTTATACCAGCGTAAAACCCACAAAACAATAAATTGCATCACCCAACCCATAAATAATAAATTACTAAATAACACAAACTTAAAATACACTGTGACCCAAAAATATAAATAATTAAAAAATATAATAATAATGTCACTGGACTTATTATTATATTTTTTTTTACTCATCTGGAATATGCAGGTTAATTTTGGGCACCAATTCACAAAAAGAACACTGGGGAACTGGAGAAAGTACAGAGAAGGGCAACCAAACTGATAAGAGGCATGGAGGAGATCAGCTATGAGGAAAGATTAGAGGAACTGAATTTATTCTATGTTGAGGAGATTAAGGGGGGATATGATCACCATGTATAATACATAAGGGGGGATATGATCTCCATGTATAATACATAAGGGGGGGGGATATGATCTCCATGTATAATACATAAGGGGGGATATGATCACCACGTATAATACATAAGGGGGATATGATCTCCACGTATAATACATAAGGGGGATATGATCTCCATGTATAATACATAAGGGGGGATATGATCTCCATGTATAATACATAAGGGGGGGATATGATCACCATGTATAATACATACGGGGGGGGGGGGGGATATGATCACCATGTATAATACATAAGGGGGGATATGATCTCCATGTATAAAACATAAGGGGGGATATGATCTCCATGTATGATACATAAGGGGGGATATGATCTCCATGTATGATACATAAGGGGGGATATGATCTCCATGTATGATACATAAGGGGGGATATGATCTCCATGTATGATACATAAGGGGGGATATGATCTCCATGTATGATACATAAGGGGGGATATGATCACCATATATAATACATAAGGGGGGATATGATCACCATGTATAATACATAAGGGGGGATATGATCTCCATGTATAATACATAAGGGGGGATATGATCTCCATGTATAATACATAAGGAGGGATATGATCACCATGTATAATACATACGGGGGGATATGATCACCATGTATAATACATAAGGGGGGATATGATCACCATATATAATACATACGGGGGGATATGATCACCATGTATAATACATAAGGGGGGATATGATCTCCATGTATAATACATAAGGGGGATATGATCTCCATGTATAATACATAAGGAGGGATATGATCTCCATGTATAATACATAAGGGGGGATATGATCTCCATGTATAATACATAAGGGGGATATGATCTCCATGTATAATACATAAGGGGGGATATGATCTCCATGTATAATACATAAGGGGGGATATGATCACCATGTATAATACATAAGGGGGGATATGATCTCCATGTATAATACATAAGGGGGATATGATCTCCATGTATAATACATAAGGGGGGATATGATCTCCATGTATACTACATAAGGGGGGGATATGATCTCCATGTATACTACATAAGGGGGGGATATGATCTCCATGTATACTACATAAGGGGGGGGATATGATCTCCATGTATACTACATAAGGGGGGGGATATGATCTCCATGTATACTACATAAGGGGGGGATATGATCTCCATGTATACTACATAAGGGGGGGATATGATCTCCATGTATACTACATAAGGGGGGGATATGATCTCCATGTATACTACATAAGGGGGGATATGATCTCCATGTATAATACATAAGGGGGGATATGATCTCCATGTATAATACATAAGGGGGATATGATCTCCATGTATAATACATAAGACGGGATATGATCTCCATGTATAATACATAAGGGGGGGGTATGATCGCCATGTAGAATACTTTTTTTTTTTTTTAATGGTTGAACTGGATGGATTGTTGTATTTTTTCAGCAACTATGTAAATGCCCCATCATTGGTATCAGTGGGGGGAATAGTACCCTATCATTGGTATCAATGGGGGGAATAGTACCCCATCATTGGTATCAGTGGCAGGAATAGTGCCCCATCATTGGTATCAGTGGGAGGAATAGTGCCCCATCATTGGTATCAGTGGGAGGAATAGTGCCCCATCATTGGTATCAGTGGGAGGAATAGTGACCCATTATTGGTGTCAGTGGGAGGAATAGTGCCCCATCATTGGTGTCAGTGGAAGGAATAGTGCCCCATCATTGGTATCAGTGGGAGGAATAGTGCCCCATTGTTGGTATCAATGAAAGGAACAGTTCCCCATTGCTGGCGTCAGTGAGAGGAATAGTGGCCCATCGTTGGTATCAATGGAAAGAATTCTGCCCAATTGTTGTCAATGGAAGGAATTGTGGCCCATCATTGGTGTCAGTAGAAAAAATATTACTGAATGCCCTTTCGTGGGTGTTCTGTGGAAAAAAATAGTGCCCCATTGTTGGCTCCTCTAGCAAGACCCAGTGCAGGACAAGGCATAGAAGTGGGGAAGAGGATCAGCTGCAGGGAACCTACAGGCAATACTAATGACTAGTCCTTTGCTCTCCGCTTGTGCTTTTTTAAACTCGAGTTTCTACAGTATAGGTCCACTTTAAACAATCAATGTGCTGATACAGGAGCAGAGGTGGTAGGAAGAACGTGGAGATATTATTCATGCCATATAGTGCCCTGCCTTCCTGGATCACAGAAGTTACTAATCACTGAGACATACCATAAACAAGTGGACATAACGCTGATAAGTCATCCCCGCCCAGGGGCGGACTGACCATTTGGAAGCTCGGGCACTGCCCAAGGGCCCAGGGTCAGTAGGGGGCCCCATGAGATGCCCCTGGTACCTTTTTCATAGGATTTTTTAAGTTTGGGCAAAGACACAGGGGCCCCATAATCCCCTATTGCCCCAGGGGCCCCATGAGTTGTCAGTCCGTCCCTGCCCCCTCCCCCACCTCAAATTCTCTCAATTATAAAGCATAAATCCGAATTAAGACAGACCGATTCATCTCTCCTCTCATTTTGAGGACTTCAGAATTTTATTTAGATTTTTCTCCCACAACATAAAAAAAAAGAGAAATGTATATAAAAAGATACACATCTGGTCGAGGTATTTCATCTTGTTTTAATTTATAACTGTTTGAAATCCAGTGACACTGACACACGTACATACAGCTACCACGGCCTGCCCGCTCCCCGTGCAGCGAGAGGGGGCATGGCTTATTTTTTGACCTGTCTTTTGTAAAATACAGTACTAATGAGTGGATTGCTACTTGCATGCATCCACGGCTGACACTACAGTGATTTCCATACTGTAACTCAAACAGTACAGCCATAAAAAGAAAAAAAAAATATATTTATATATAATCAAAAGTCATAATCCTTTGAACCTATCCTGAGAGGCCTAGTGGTGCGGCCAGATAGTTAATGCTTTTTGTGTTTTTTTCAAAGATGCTACAGGCGGTACGTCCCTAGAACTCCTCAGTTATATAAATATGGAAGAATTTTATTTTGTACAGTTCACTACATTTCTGGCTACCCGTTAGCATCCTACGGAAAGATAGGGGTGTATGCTGGGAGAGAAGGAGGGGGTGGAATAGGCGTTCCGGTGGCACGCAGTGGAATGAGTCGGTGGGGTCATGGGAATGTTCTGGTAGATGGGCGTCAGTCCTCTTCAGTGCCGCTTCCTGAGCGTTCCTATGGAGAGTAGAACAAGTACATTAGCACTTCAGCCAAATGCAAGGAAGCTAAATTACAAAACTACAAATTAGGGATCCCACAGGGAAGTATATGGGAACCCAGCAGCAAGAGAAAATGGAGAAAATGACCCTTTGGAGCTTTCTTCATTATTGTGGACAGTCCCGAGGCACCCTTTAAAATTATGGACAGTCCTGAATCACCCTTTAAAATTGTGGACAGTCCCGAGGCATCCCATTCTAAAATGAGATGCCTCAAGACTGTCCATAATCTTAAAAGTGCACCCCATTCTAAAATGTGAAAAACGATTCTAATAGTTCTATATAACGCAGCAACACCCACACATGTAGGACACCCAACATTAGAGGTGATTTATTCTTCCAAAGCAAATACACTTTTGCACACTGGTACTGACTAGTATTCCAATGTTTCTCTTCTCCCTCAGTTTTTCTCCATCACTGAGCTAATGTGACCCCAGCACTGATGGAGAGGGGCGGGGGAGGGTTAAACTAGGATGCTGTGCAGGCAGCTGACAACCTCCTTATCAGCTGTAATGTCATTGGTTGTCAGGACACTGGTGGCTAGAAGGTCGTAATGGTGCACAATGATAACCTGTCGCTTTGTGTAATGAAAAGGCAGGCTTGTTCCACCCGCTGGCTTGTATACAAGTTTTGGAAGTTTAAGACATTTTGCCGAGGCACCCCTGAAGAAACCTCAAGGCACCCTGGTTGAGAAATGCTGACCTAGACGCATAGTATAATTCACTCAAAATATAGATTCTAACCACTACTGAAAAAAGAATAGACAAAAGAAAAGTAATGTTTATGAGATTTACTACAGCCATACCCGACCAGCAGGCTGCTATGGGGCCTACGTATTTTATACATCAGCAGAATGATTACTGCACACCACAAAATGTAATACATTAAGAGACCCATTAAAAATGAATAGTGCATGTACTATGCAAAGCACAACGTAGTAAAGAAGCTGATTACATTGTTTATGCAGTTTATGTTTTATTCATAAAATGCTGAGTGGAACCCGTGGTAGAGCACTTTCTGGCTAACCCTTGCAGATTACACTCTAGGATAGGAGCAGAGTTCCATTCCATCTAACTTGGCCCTCCACTGCACCACATAACTAGCATCCTTTTGCTGCCTTATTCATACAATCAGCTCACAGGTTTGAAAGAAAGCCTTATGTAAGCCAAACGTCGTGAGCAATGGACTCCCTGGTGTGACCGCATTGCGACCCCTGACACTACAGCAGTGGTTGGGGGTGTGCGGTAAAAACACTTCAACTATGGGGTTTTACCACCCCCCAAACTGCAGATGTAAACAAGCCCTTACTGTCCTGAGCCCCCTAGAAGGCTGCTTTCATGCTGTTGTGCTGTGGTTTCACCACAGTGCACCTGCGGCTTTCCTGCAAGTCACAAGTCAATGGCAAAGCCCAGCTATTATATCTTGAGAGTGTAGTGCTCTTTTTGAAAGCGCACCAAAACTCCTGCAATCAGGGAATTTTGGTGCACTTTCAGAAAGAGCACCAAACCCGCAGGATATAACAGAAGTCTATGGCTCAGTGCAGGTAACCCACACGTACACTGCACTGCAAATCAGTGTGAAAGCAGCATAACAGTTGATAACCCTTTATAGGTGCTAAATATGCCATTTGCAAAAGTGCAGTGTATGTGTTGTTTAATACACGGACCTTCTTCTCTTCCAGCTTCTGCTGGCATCGCTCTTCAGACTGCTAGTAAGGTCCCAGGTGAAAAGCAGTTGGTATCACTCTGCCTAGGACAGTAATCAGCGCTACAGAGGAAGCATCGGTTTACGCAGCTCCTGCTCTCTCCATAGCCTCCTGCTTCCTCCACTGCCAGCGCCAGCTCAGTGCACGCTGATGTTATGGTATGGCAGGTCGACAAGCTCAGATTGGGATCAACAGTTTGCCACCCCCGGGCATGCGTTTCCCTGGTTTGAGGGCCACAGAATGAGCACCTGCGTCTTAAACCTTCGGGACATCCAAAAGCAGTCCCTCTGAAGGGTGGTCAACACAACAAACAATGCTAATGGGTCAAAAAAAAAAAAAAAATACAGACCTGGGGGGCTGCCTGTATCTCAATGAGTCACCTGAAGGACCTGATGAACAGAAACAGAAGAACAGGTGGCAGCCCCACAAATCTGAGAACAGTTGCTTGATGCTGAAGAGTCCAAAAAGCACTCCCAGATCTAGTAGAGTATGCCTTATACTCTGCTTAGACAGGAGAGGGTGGAACTCAACCTTTGAGACAATAAGATTGAATTATTGTCTGTCTGAGCCACCTAGGGTCCTGCCCAAGAAAAGATTCAATCTGCCTCTATGTGACTATAGGACTTCTGGTTCCTCCATGATGACTGATGTATGCCACTGGCATGACCTTTTCTGACTGAATCTCCAGCAGATGACCCTCAAGTAAGATGGTTCAAAGTTGTAGAAAAAGCTAAATCACTTGATGTTTCAGTATGTTGATGACAGTAGAGAACTCCGCTGATGACCAAGTACCCTGCACCGACAGGGTGCCTGGGACTTTTACGCAGCTCAACAGGCTGGCGTTCACCATGAGGATTCTCCAAAAGATGGAAAGGAAGGACTTGCCTGAATTTAAAGCCAGCTTCTTGAGCTACCAGCCCAGAGACCAGGTTCTTGGTGATAGACGAATTAGTCTGTCCACAGACAGGGTAGACAACAGAATGTTGCATTATGGAGATCAGGAGAGATACTAGGAAAATGAGACTGCTTTAATTTAAGAGCTACCCTCAGACTTAGGACTCATGCAAAAGCAAAGAGACCATGAGAATGCAGCAGTGCTAGTGCAGGAACCAGTGCCTTGTGAATACCAGAGGTGCAGACAAAAGACTGAAGGGCAAGGCCACAAAATAGGAGTATAGGCGCCCCACGGGAAAGCGTAGTATTCACTGATATGTTGTAAAGAAGGGAAAATGTACAGTAAGGATGTGTCTTTGAATATCTACAGAAGCTAGAAAGTCTTCCTGGTGAAGGGAGGTGATGACAGATTTGGTCATTTCCATGCAAAATGTTTCAATTCAAATGAAGACATTCAGGGCTTTGATATACAGAATGAGGCTTGGGAATGGTGAACTGGTTGGAGTAAATACCCTGGAACCAGTCTGCCACAGGAAATTGGAATACAACACTTTGATTCAGAAGACCTGAGAGGGCTCCATGGAGATATGATAATCTGTGTAGTGACACAGAAAAGCTTGAGGTGAGAAACAAAGAAGGGGGCAGGAAGCAAAACTCCAGTTTGAAGCCATGGGATACCAACCAACTCCTGCACCTAACCATCTGAGATGCAAGCAGTCCAAACATCCACAAAGGTTAACAAGTGCCCCTCAATCCACTCTGAAAAGATGGATTACACCTTTATGTGGAGGAAGACTTGGCTGAGAACTTGGCAGACTCCATCTCAGATCTTACAGGTGGTTAGGAAGCCAAGCTTGAAGAGTGTCGATATGGAGGCCAAGGGAGTGGAGAAACAAAAGTGATGGGATAAGGAGGGAAAAAGACTTGGCAGTCTTGGGTGCTCTTGCCACCAGTAGCATCCTTGATGAAGTTGTCAAAACAGCTGGTCTGAACAGAAGCAGTCCCCTGAAGGCCATGTGGATTAAATGCCATTTACACAACGATTCGATAGGCCAACATATTAGCCAAAATGCCCTATGCATATGAATGGACATGAGACATGCAAGAAATTAGACAGCAGGTTTCTGGCAAACCATCACAGCTAAAAAGGAATGCTACATTAATCTGCTGAGCGTGTTCTATAAGCAGCCGTTCAAACTCAGATGTCTTAGCGGATTTTGACCAGTCAGACATGGTCTGAAAGTAAGTTCACAGCCAAACTTGGATGAAGGGCACAGCTCATTCAAGAGAACAAAGCTCTAGAAAAAGGCTTCCAATTGCTTACCAGTTGGGTACTTAAAGACGGATGTGACACTGCTGGATCCACAGTGCAAAAAACACCACTTCTGCACAAAATCCTCACTAAACTGATACGTGGCTAATAAGTATTTAGGGAAAGCAAACAGCTTGTCAGATTGTTTCTAATCTCCATACAGAAATTTTTGGATGATTAAGTGCAAATGGAAAGTCTTCATGGCTATAGGAGTTTTAAAACAACCCAAAGCTGGAAACCGCATAGGTAGAAGTAACAAGCCAATCCTTTAGTTTCAGCCTGGTGCATCTCACTTCATTTGGGAAAAGTAGCAGTAGACTGCAACTCCTCAGCGGCAGGTTCATCAGTCACACACTGAAGCAACTCAATCTGACGGTCTCTGTGGCCAATAGCTCAGAAGGTCATGAGCAAACCAGATCTAGAATCTGCCACAGAGGGTAAAGGAGAGTTCACTCTAATACAGTCAGCAAACAATGTGGTAATTTGGGTTATAAAAATCTGCATGACCGTTAATAAAACCTGTTGCCAAGACAAGAGACAAGGAGGCCCATCCACATCTGACAGATCCAAAGAGGACTCAGAAGATGGAACAGACTCCAGGTTCCAGAAGATGGAACAGACTCCAGGTTCCAGAAGATGGAACAGACTCCAGGTTCCAGAAGATGGAACAGACTCCAGGTTCCAGAAGATGGAACAGACTCCAGGTTCCAGAAGATGGAACAGACTCCAGGTTCCAGAAGATGGAACAGACTCCAGGTTCCAGAAGATGGAACAGACTCCAGGTTCCAGAAGATGGAACAGACTCCAGGTTCCAGAAGATGGAACAGACTCCAGGTTCCAGAAGATGGAACAGACTCCAGGTTCCAGAAGATGGAACAGACTCCAGGTTCCAGAAGATGGAACAGACTCCAGGTTCCAGAAGATGGAACAGACTCCAGGATCCAGAAGATGGAACAGACTCCAGGATCCAGAAGATGGAACAGACTCCAGGATCCAGAAGATGGAACAGACTCCAGGATCCAGAAGATGGAACAGACTCCAGGATCCAGAAGATGGAACAGACTCCAGGATCCAGAAGATGGAACAGACTCCAGGATCCAGAAGATGGAACAGACTCCAGGATCCAGAAGATGGAACAGACTCCAGGATCCAGAAGATGGAACAGACTCCAGGATCCAGAAGATGGAACAGACTCCAGGATCCAGAAGATGGAACAGACTCCAGGATCCAGAAGATAACACCGTTCCAGGCTGCAGATGTCAGCACAGTCAGAAGGTTTGCTGCAGGCAGCCCCAGACACATTAATAGACTGTGACCTGGAAGCACCCAGCACAGTTGAACTGTGCATTCTAGATCTAGAACCAAAATGTGGGCTTGGGTTAAGAGTCCTCATAAAACCTGGACAGCTGGTAGCAGGTAAAGATCAGATGGCCAGAAGTGCTTAAAGTCAATGTAAATGAGCAGCAGGAATAGATGAACATTTCAATTCCATTTAGATATAGAGTATACATAAGGTTTTATACCTCTAGTACTATAACTAGTAACTATAATCTGAACTGAAGTGTCTCCTAGTGGTTATACATGGTATCACAGAGAAATGGACCCAGGTCTCATTCATCCAACACTCAACTCACCTCCTCCTGCTCCTCCTCAGTGTCGTCATCGCTGACCACAGGCTTGGCCCTGCAACCCCTGCTGGTGCGCCTGCGCCCCTTCATTCGTTCCTGCATTTTCTCCTTACGACCCAGCTTAATCTTCACTTTAACGGAGCGAGCTACAAGACAGATTGAAATGAGAAGGACGCTTAATATAAAAACAGAAACCAGAATGGTTTGAAGTTGGAAAATGTCTATATGAGAGAAATGGAGGAAGATTTGCACGAATCCTACAATTCTATACAATATTCTTAAACAATGCAGCAGAATGGGGTAATGACATGTTTACAAGGTAATACTGCAAATCCCAAATATTTTTACTGCATTCTTACACTCAGATTCTGAGCCTTCTTCCTCTCCTTCCTCCTCCTCTTCACTTTCCTCCCCTTCACTATCCTCCTCCTTCTCGATCTTCTGCCTCACACTGGTGAAGACCGACTGCAGCACAATGGAGTCTTCATATATCTAAAGAACAGAGAAAAAAAAGATTAACAAAGGTTTGCCTCAATTTAAACAATATTACAAGAAATGAATATTAAAACATCTGTAAGATGGTGGTAAATGAACATCCATAAGGACTGATAAAGGCAAATACAGAACACAAAAGAGCTAAACAAGACTGTATAAACACTCTACTTTTTTACTCTGGTTAAAAAAAAAAAAAAAAAGTTTAACCCCTTGACGCCGGCGTAACAAATATGCGGCCTCACAGAACTGGGCTTTTTTTCTGTGGGGCTGCATATTTGCATACTTGTCTTTGTGCTGGGAATGCGCTGCACAGCGCGCTCCCAGCACAAAGACTGTGGTGTCACTGAGAGCCCTGGGTCCCGTTCTAAACAATCGGGACCCAGACTCCCGATTCCGGGTCACATGATTGCTGTGATAGCCTCCGATTGGCTATCACAGTTATCAGTCACTGTACAACCCAGCTCCCTTGTGTTTTTTTTTTCTCTCTATGAATGGAGGAGAGAGATACATTGCATCTCTCTAACTCCTGGCAAAGAGGGAAAAAAAAAAATGTTTGTAAAAAAAAAAAAAAAAAAAAAAATAGAAATAAATATAAAAAAAATAAAGAACAACTACCTAGATCAAGGTTTGATCTAGTTCAGTGCCAGGGTAAGTGTTTGGGTCAAGGTCAAAAAGGTCAGGGTCAAAGGTCAGGATTTTTTTTGGTGTCTGTGTTTTTAGGTAAAAAAAAACAAAAAACAAAACAAAATGTGCACTATTGTTTCTGGACTGTACTACAGGTACAAATAACACACATATATGGTATCACTGCGATCGTCAAGAGCTGGAAAATGCATTTTGGGTTGTTCTTTGGTGGTAGGTTATGGTAGTAACACAAGAAACACACAGCTAAATTAAAAAAAAAAAATTATTTTTTTTTTTTACTATTTTGGACCAGTTTTCCTATGAGAATAATAATAAAAAAATAAAATTAAAAAAAATCAGGAGATATCAATTTACCACCAAATGAAAGCCTAATTTGTCCTGAAAAAAACGCTGTATAATCCACCTGGATGTACAAAGAAATTGTGATGATATGTACGGTTTTACTAACACATGTCAACGTTGCAAATTTGTGCTTAGGCATTTAGATTTGTTTTACCACTTAGGCGTGAAGGGGTTAAACATGTTTTGGACTTAGGCCAGTGTTGTGAGAGGTCTTCACTTCTAGCACACCATCTTGTCCATACTGTTTGCGTGTTACAATGGTCACCTTACAGGGCTAGGCTGTGGTAGAGATAGGGGTGACAAGCACATTACCATTCAGCCTCCAAGAGCCTAATGCATTTTCCACAGCTTACACTCTTTACTATGGATATACAGTTGCAAGAAAAAGTATGTGAACCCCTTGGGATTACGTGGAGTTTTGCATGAATTGGGTATAAAATGTGCTCTGAATGTCATCTAAGTCACAACAATAGAAGAACACAGTCTGCTGAACATAATACTACACAAACATTAGATGTTGCCATGGTTTAATTGCACATAACATGTAAACATTCACAGTGCAGGGAGGAAAAAGTATGTGAGGCCCTAGCTTAATGACTTCTCCCAGAGCTAATTGGAGCCAGGAGTGAGCCAACCTTGACTCCAATCAGTGTGATGATATTGGATGTGTTGCTGACAGCTGTCCTGCCCTTAAAAAACACACACCTGTTTTGGGTTTACTGGTTTCAAGAAGCACTGTCTGATGTGAACCATGCCTCGCAGAAAAGAGCTCTCAGAAGACCTACCATCAAGAATTGTTGACTTGCACGAAGCTGGAAAGGGTTACAAAAGTATCTCCAAAAGCCTTGATGTTCATGTGTCCACGGTAAGACAGACTGTCTTACAGACTGTCTTACTGAGAAACTGAGAAAGTTTAGCACTGTTGCTACTCTCCCTAGGCATGGTCATCCTGTAAAAAGGACTGCAAGAGCACAGCGCAGAATGCTGCATGAGGTAAAGAAGAATCCCAGAGTGTCAGCTAAAGACCTACAGAAATCTCTGGCACATGCTAACATTTTTGTTGACACATCTACAATAAGGAAAACATTAAACAAGAATGGAGTACATGGGAGGACACCACGGAGGAAGCCATTGCTGTCCAAAAAGAATATTGCAGCACGTTTGAAGTTTGCAAAAGAGCACCTGGATGTTCCACAGCACTACTGGCAAAATATACTGTGGACAGATGAAACCAAGATTGAGTTGTTTGGGAAGAACACACAACACTATGTGTGGAGAAAAAAAGGCACAGCACACCAACATCAAAACCTCATCCCCACTGTAAAACATGGCGGAGGGAGCATCATGGTTTGTGGCTGCTTTGCTGCCTCAGGGCCTGGACGGATTGTTGTCATTGATGGGAAAATGAATTCCAGGAGTTTATCAAGACATTTTGCAGGAAAACGTACAACCATCTGTCCGCCAACTGAAGCTCCGCAGAGGATGGGTGATGCAACAGGACAATGACCCAAAGCATACAAGTAATTCAACAAAACAATGGCTGCAACAGCACAGAATACGCCTTCTGGAGTGGCCCAGTCAGAGTCCTGACCTCAACCCGATTGAAATGCTGTGGTATGACCTTAAGAGAGCGATTCACACCAGACATCCCAAGAATATTGCTACACTGAAACAGTTTTGTGAAGAGGAGTGGTCCAAAATGACTCCAGATCGTTGTGAAGGTCTGATCGGCAACTACAGGAAACGTTTGGTTGAGGTTATTGCTGCCAAAGGAGGGTCAACCAGTTATTAAGTCCAAAGGTTCACAAACTTTTTCCTCCCTGCACTGTGAATGTTTACATGTTATGTGCAATTAAACCATGGCAACATCTAATGTTTGTGTAGTATTATGTAGCAGACTGTGTTCTTCTATTGTTGTGACTTAGATGACGTTCAGAGCACATTTTATGCCCAATTCATGCAAAACTCCACGTAATCCCAAGGGGTTCACATACTTTTTCTTGCAACTGTATGCAATGGAAAGACCACAGTGCTCATTATGTGAAACCTTTTAAACTGGTGGCTGTGCCTTTCTTTTCTGCCCTTTTTTTGTACCATATTGTTGGGTACAAAATGATGAAAGACATTGGTAAAATGTTGTATGTACCAAGCTATTCCGCTCAACACACAATTTCCTTCCCAGCATCTACATTGCACAGGTTAGGGTCCTTCTGGCACCTATACACACACACACACACACACACAGGGCCACATTGTCACAGCAGATCACTAGACCACGATACCAGAACTTACCAGGGACCCTTCAAGGTTGAAAGTCTGAGCGTTCTGACATAGCAGCATGACGTCTTTTTCCAGGTCGTTTAGACTACGGTACTTGTGATTTCTGATCCTCTCCTGGAGGACAAAGTGGGTCATATTAGCCATATGGAAGGTTATTCAGAAGTTGATGACAACATCTAAAAGCTCTTCCCATTTACCTTGATTTTCCTAAAGTCCACAGGTTTGCGAATCAGCTCGTAATACTCTGGCAGTTCTTTTCGGGAAGGGAGCTGAATGAAGACCTCGCTAAGCTGACGTCCTGTGGAGCTAATTCAGGAAAGAAAACAGGACACCTTTAAAGTGTATGTCAAGTAAAAAATAAAAAAAAAAAACCTGTTTTCAGAATTTGAAAGCATTTCATCTTCACTGAGTCAAGTGCTTTTGATGTAGCTCCTAGCATTCTTGTTACAGACACCTGTTGATCCTGCCGGTTTCTAACTGCAAACATTGCTTCCTGTAGCAAATGCAATATACACCTTGTCCATGTCTATCTAGTTCAGGGGTGGGCAAACTTTTTGACTTGAGGGCCGCAATGGGTTCATATATTGGACCCGGGGGCCGGACCAAGAGTAGATGAATGATGTGTATGTGTCATCCATAGTAAGTATAGTAATATTCCCCCATAGTAAGCATAGTAATTCATCCCCCATAGTAATTCATCCCCCATATAGTAATTCATCCCCCATATAGTAATTCATCCCCCATATAGTAATTCATCCCCCATAGTAATTCATCCCCCATATAGTAATTCATCCCCCATAGTAATTCATCCCCCCCCATAGTAATTCATCCCCCATATAGTAATTCATCCCCCCTATAGTAATTCATCCCCCCTATAGTAATTCATCCCCCCTATAGCAATTCATCCCCCATATTAATTCATCCCTCATATAGTATTTCATCCCGCACAGTACTATTACCCCCCCAAGTAGTAAGCCAAGTCCCCCCTGTGTCAATTCACTTACCTTTGCTCCGCGCGTCCCTCTCGCCGTGTTCCCGCGCCGTTCCGGTCTTCAGGGCGGACTGTGAGAGGAGCCTAGCTCCCCTGACGTTCCTCATGCTGCCCCGCCTACACACATTCTGACAGCCGATGTTTGCCACGCTCCGTGGGCAGGATTAAAAGGTCCGCCGGGCCGTAGTTTGCCCATTGCTGATCTAGTCCCTTCTCCCTGGTGATTGACATTCTTCCCAGCCCATGGCCCTGGCTTATTACATCAGCAGAGGAAAAGAAGCTCTGAGCTCACTCTCAACAGCCCTTGCCCATCAAGATCTATTAGGAAAGGGGCCATAGGACAAAAAAAAAAAATCCAAAAATGGGCATTTATGACATGTACTGATCATTTTATTATTAAAGTGGTTGTAAACCTCTGAAATCAAAAATGAACAATGCATATCCTTCTATAGTGTGTACTTTTTTTGATCCAAAGTACCTAGTGTGATCTCTGCTCGGTCATTCCTCTGCAATCTACATAAGTCAGTTCTGACAGTCTATGCCCACACCAGTCACTCCTGGGAGCCCCCTCCTGGGAGCCCCCTCCTGGGAGTAAAGGGATGCTTTTTGGACGCCCCCCGCCCCCCTCAGTTATGCATTTTTCCCTATGAGACTGTAGAGGAGTGTGTCCATTCCCTGTGTGTTTCAGGCGTGTGACATCATATCCCTGTCCCCTGCCTCTGGAAGCTCAAAAAGGTGGGCTGTAAAAGGAGAGCAGGCTGCAGATAAACAAGTACAACTTACATAGGAGTATGTTTCATCTCTGTGCAACACCTGAGGCTAGTCACTTTAGTGGGTACAGTATATGGAAGGAATTACAACCACTTTAACAAACTACTCAGTTTTTTTCTTTTTTAAATTTAGCTCTCTGTTAACAATCTGCCTTTCCATTGTACCTCATACCCCAAAGATCTCTTTATTGACCTCTCACCTGTCCTTGTACTTGATAACTGCGTCCACAGTTTTCTTCATCTTCTTGGTGAGGTTTGGAGGGTTGGGGGAGAGCTTCTCAGCTGGCGGTCTTCCTCTTTTCTTCTTCTTGCCCTCGTCATCTCTTTCCCGATTCCGCGTGCTGGTGGTAGGAATGGGACATGCACGGGTCTATATCTCGCTTCCGCTTGCGAGACGTCTTCTTCTGGCGTACCTCCTCCTCAATTTCCTCCAATGTACCCTCTTCTATGGCCTGATCAGACAGAACAACCACCTTTATTACACCTGTACTTGAGCAGCAAAACAATGCTGTACAAGAGGATGATTTACTGCATCATGGAAGTAGCATGCGGCAATTCTACTCTGGCCTTGTCTTTCTCCAAGCTGTTTGTTACATGGCAAAAAAGCAAGTATTGTGTTAGGGGAGCATTAAGGGATATCAACTCAAGACCTCAAAAACATCCCATATCATATATATATATATATTTTATCATTTTTACAAAAAATGAATACGAGAAGAACACACGTAACATGGAGTTTTATTTAAAATTTGATAGCCGCTCAGGAATCGCATCAACTGATCTTCGCAGGAACTCTTGTGGGACGGCAGAAATAAACTTCTCGTAGTCGCCCCTCGAGTTCTTCTAAAGTCTTTGGTTTCGTAGAGTAAACTTGTTCCTTCAACCAACCCCAAAGAAAAAAGTCGCAGGGTGTTAAATCAGGGCTTCTGGCCGGCCACTCATGCGGACCACGTCGACCCAACCATCTCCCAGGAAAATGTTAATTCAGCCATTCACGAACATATATATATACACACACACACACTATATATATATATATATATATATATATATATATATATATATATATATATACACACACACACACACACACACACACACACACACATACATACACACATCACATTATCTAAAGGAAACCTGTCATGAGAGCAATGTGGAGGGTGCTACTTTAGACTTCCCCTAAAAATACTACCAGGCTTTAATGCTGATCCTCTGTCTTCAACTGACCCAAACCTGTGACTATCCCCATCTGCCAAGTTGTTCTAAGTCAGTGACAAAACATCAAGCCAGGCAACTAGCATTTTCCAAGGGAAGTGAGTGAAAGCAGCCCATATGTATTGCTTGACAGATTTTCTTTTAATAGCTCACACATCAGCATTACCAAGTCACAAGAGGCTAACAGTTTCTAGGCACAAACTAAAACAAAATGACCTGCGCTGTTAAAGTCTGGACCACTCTGGCTACCTTAAATATTGGGGACATTTCAAGTCACTAAAGCCTATAAGAATTTCTCATCAATCTCATCTATATGGATGGACAAAAAAAAAACCAAACTGTGTATAGCCAGAAACTGAAATGACAGTCCACCTACTGGTGGACTATGGAGCTGCACAGCAATATAAACAGTAGAGTTGCACAAGTATTAAAAGAGAAGTATGGGTCCCCTCCCCCCAAATTATACTTACCTAGGTGGATGCATTGGTCCGATGATGCATCTGTCCCCTGCTGGCTCTAAGTGTGACAACTCAGTGATCACATGACCGCTGATCTCCGAGTTCTCACCACCGCTGTGAGCAGAGAGCAGCGAATGTCAGTCACCGATGTCTGCTCTGCTCACTGGTGCGCTGGGCTGTGGAGGGGGAGAGAGCGGCTGGCTCAGGCTCTCAGCAGATTGCCGACAGGCTGAGCCAGGTGCCACTCCAGACTCTGGGGTGGATCCCGACTTCAAAGTCTGGATCTTTTCCCAGCTTGGCTGACTGAGTAACATCAGGCTTCAGCTGAAAACAGGTCACAGGAGTGCAGAACGAAGTGCACTCCTGTAATCCACAGGACAAGTACAGCCAAAAGAGCTTTGGTTGTACTTCTCCTGTAAGTCTGAATGGCCAGAGTCAAGTCTTTCAAGCTCTGCAAGCAACCACACCTGAGAAACAATGACGTTTCCAGTGCTGCCTGCAGTGAGAACCAAGAGAGAAAGATCATTCTATTTACACTGTACAACTCTCAAAGTATAACTAAAAGCAAAAAATTTTTGTTCTCTATTTTGGATGTGTCCCATTGGGGAGATTTCCGCTAACTTCCTGTCCCATAGCCAAAACAGGAAGTGAGAGGATATCCCTCCAAAGTCAGGGAACCTGGGGGAAGGGTCATCACCAGGACTAGTGTATCTATTGGTAGAGTTCCCCCCTATTACTGTTCTGATGTTAACCCAAAATCTGACAAAAGAAGTTTAAGTCTTCAATTACACTTTAAATATCTGCTCTACACATGATAACTAACAACAAACAGGAACACACCTTTAGCCACTGTTTCTCCGTCAGAGAGTCGCTGTAATCCACCTCCTTCCTATTACGGGAACCCCGACCAAACATTTTCTCCTCCTCCTCTTCACAGGTAAGACGCTCCACCTCAGCATCATCTTTAATGATCCAAGATGGCAGCTCATCCTCCTCCATCAGACGAGGCTTGCGCTTGGGATTGCGAGCTTCCTCTCGCCGCCTGTCCAAATCCATTCGCTAAAAAAATAAAGACAGCAGCCATAAGACCAGGTGACAGTTGTCACAAAGCGGCAGTCTTCATCTAATGCAGGCCACACATGGTTCGAATTCCGAACGATTTTCGTACAAAAATTGGACCTAAGAATAATCGGCCGATTTTCGCTTTGTTAGTGGGGCAATGGCATCGGCCAATTTTCGTGATTCCTCCCCATTTCGTTTATTGGCATGCTGGAAATTTCATGAAAAACGAATGGCACCATCGGATTACAGAACGAACGATGTTTCGATTTTTGGACGAAAAATCGATCGGAATTCGAACCATGTATGGCCTGCATTAGTCACGGGAAGCATTGTATTATAAAAAGCAGGCATGCGACTTACCATGAACAAATCAAACTCCTCTTCATGTCTTGCAATCATTTGATTCACAGTCTCATCATCAGGAACCTCATCTTCCTCCTGCAAAAGCACGTGTTTACTGAATGATGTGATCTGCCAGAACCACAAGAAAGAGGAAAGGGAAGAAAAAATGTTTTTCCAATGCTCCCAGCTAAGGGGGATACTATCTCCAATCTTTGGATATTTGACCCTAAGCAAAACACGCTTTAAGACAGGCACTTCCTAAGATTCCTTGTCAGCCTTAAAAATTGGAGTTGTCTATATGAGATACTGTGTATAGTGCACTTTACTTTGTCTCTGTCCCTTAACCTTAACCACTTCAAGTCCAGTCCAGCCACTTCCCCAACCCCCCCCCCCCCCCCCCCCCCCCCCCCCCCCCAGTCCAGCCACTTCCCCAACCCCCCCCCCCCCCCCCCCCCCCCCTTCCAGTCCAGCCACTTCCCCAACCCCCCCCCCCCCTTCCAGTCCGGCCACTTCCCCAACCCCCCCCCCCCCCCCCCCTTCCAGTCCGGACATTCCCCCCCCCCCCTTCCAGTCCAGACACTTCTCTCCCCCCCCCCCACCCTTCCCATCCAGGCTAGTTTTCAGCTTTCAGCGCGATAACACTTTGAATGACAATTGCGCGGTCATGCAACACTGTACCCATATGAATGTTTTTACCATTTTATGAGACAGATAAAACTTTATTTTGGTGGTATTTATTCACCACTGGGATTTTTATTTTTTTTGCTATGTAAATGCAAGTCCAAAAATTTTGAAAAAAAAAAAAAGTGGTTTTCTTATAAAAAAATTTTACAAATAAATAATATTTCATCATAAATCTTGGCCAAAATTTATTCCGTTATCTTTTTAATAAAAAAACAAAAAAAAACAACCCAAATTAGTTTATAACCAAAAATAATAATTTTTAAACTTTTTTTACATTTTTATTTTTATTATTTTTTTTTTTTTTTACATACTGTCACCCTAGCAGTACAGTGTCACCATGCTGACACTGTACTACTTGTGGGGGGTGATTAAGATTTTTTTTTTTTTTTTTTTTTACACTGATTGCTTTTACACCCATAAAGGCTTTAAAAGCAATCATTTCTCCTCCTCTCTGGCTGCATTCTTGCAGCCATTGAGAACTACTGTGTGAGCTGTGATTGGTCACAGTTTGTCACATGGTACAAGGTTGTGAATAGCCTTGTACCATGTGACCTCTGTGATCATTCACAGATTTCACACGAAGTGACATCTTGCTTACTACTTTGCATGTGATCACTGATTGGCCAATCGGTGATCATATGATCAGGACCTCGCACAGAGGTCCCGTCTGACGATCGGTGTTCCACTGTGTCCGAAGGACACAGCGGGCACCGGATCGCTATGCTGCGCGCACTCCCAGGGAGCGTGCACAAGCAGGGGGCGGGGAGGCCGTTTATAAATGGCCACCCGCCCCTGCACTGCACTGCCACCCGTCCGGCCGTTTATATACAACAGCCAGATGGGAGGTGGTTAAACTCCTTTATATAGACCCTGGACTGACTATATGACTGTATGGTATGCACTATTGGATACTTTCCCGAATAATAATTCTCTATTTGTGTGGAAAAAAAGGATATAAAACGTTATTTGCGTACACTGTTGCATGACCATGCAGTTGCCAGTTAAAGTAGCACAGTGCCAAAGAGAAACAAAATACCCTGGTCATGAAGGGGGTAAAACCTTCTGAAGCCCAAAGCGGTTTTAAAGGCTCAAGGTTTTTTACCTTCATGGATTCGTGTGTAGCAGCCCCCCCCCCTCCTTTTCCGATCCTTACCCAAGCCCCCCTCCGATCCATCGATGTTCACAATAGCCTCAGCTGTATGGGGAGTCTTCCTGCTCATTGGCTGAGACAGCAGCAGGAGCCCATTGGCTCCCGCTGCTCTCAATCACAGCCAGTAAGGCAATGAAGATAAAGCGGGGGGGTTGTGGGGCCGAGCCATGGCTCGGTGTCTTAGAGCAATGGCTCAGGAATGAGCACTCAGAGGTGCCTTTAGGGCAAGTAGCTTTCTCTGGGGGCATGGGGGGGACCCAAAAAGAAAAGGATAGGGACAGCTGTGTGCAAAACTACTGCACAGAGCAGGTATGACATGTTTGCTATTTTTTATAAAAAAGGAAGCTTTAAGTACTTTACTTTAAGTGGATAAAGAATGCTTTTATGAATCATAATTATGGTTGACTCCCAGTGGCATATTTAGAGTTTCAAGAGGTTTCCAATTTTTATTTTGAAAGGGTAAAAATGAAAAGGCAGAGGGAATGCAATGGGAAAAAGACAGAGGAAAGGAAAGAAAATGGGGAAAGCAAATGGAAAAAATGAACAAATGCAGAGGAAAGAAAAAGTAAAAAAAAAACACACAAAAAACAAAAAAGTAAAAAAAGGACAAAGACAGAAGGAACATAATGGAAAAGAGAGAGCAGGAAACCAAGAAATGCAAAAAGAAAATGAGAAAAAATTAGGAAAGTATAAGGAAAGAAAGAGAAAGTAAAGAGGAAGGGAGAAGGACAAAAAAAAAAACAAGAGAAGGAAGGGGAAGGAAAAAGAGAAAAAAGTAACAGAAAAAGGATAAATGGAAAAGAAGATGAATGGAGGAAGGAAAAACAAAGGGTGGATAAGTAGCCAGGACAAAAAAAAAAAAAAAGCAGCAAAGGAAGGCAATATGAAGGAATAGGGGGTGTCCTCACCTCGTCCTGCTCCTCATGCTCCAGAATGGCCTGCAGAAACGCCTTCCGCTCGTGGCTGGAGGATTTCTGATCAAACATTCCAGCTTGGATGACCTTCTGATCCACATTCAGCTTGTATTTTGCGGCTGCCAGAATCTTCTCTTCCACACTGTTTACTGTGCACAGACGCAGAACACGCACCTCGTTCTGCTGACCAATGCGGTGAGCTCGATCCTGGGCCTGTAAATCCTGTACAAAAAGAGAAAAAAGTGTGAAAATAGAATTATCAAATCTGTTCCCAGATATTTAAAGGCAAATCTGTCTTTATTATTTTACATAAGTTTAACAAACAAAACATAGGAATTATATAAAAAAAAAAAAAAAAAAAAAAGCGAGTACAAGTACATAAACAAATGAAAAACATCAGAGAGGCGGTTATGATCCAAGTGGGCAAATGAAGATAGTGCAATATAACAGTAAGAGGAAGGATCGATAGCCCATATTACGGAGGTAAAACATAACAGATTGTCGGGGGGGTATCCCCAGCACGATGTATGGACCAATATGGAAGAACTCTGCACGACCAAGATGATAAATCGTAATTGAGGAAAAAGGATAAGAAAAAAGGGAGGAGAGAGAAAAAAAAAGGGGGGGGGGGGGGGGGGGAGAGGAAACAGAAAAACAAAGACAAAAAAAGGGTCAGTGGAAAGGATATCGATGGAGAAAAAAGGGGTGGGGAACAGGGATGGCAGTAAGCAGCAATGGGATAGCTCCCCACAAGTGTCTCATGGAAACAACCCTGACACACATAGCATGACATGCGTCACAGGGTCCAACCAGCGGTTAAGCCAAAATGAGATCGAAACGGGAGGACAAAGCACAACTCCACTAGAGCGCAGCAGGGGCACACATCACGGAGAGTCATAGAGGAGAAGCGAAGCCAGACCGACCACAACAGCTTATGTTTATCATTCTTATTTTATTATTATACAGTATTTATAAAGCGCCAACAGTTCGCTCAGCACTGTACATTACAATGGGAGACAGAACATGCGACAGTACAATAACAATACGATACACAAGGGGTTCGAGGGCCCTGCTCCTTGGAGCTTACAATCTAGGTGGGAGGGGATTGTGGTACAGGAGGAAATAGCTGTGGGGGATGGAGTGGTAGGAAGAGTGAAGGAGATTGGGAATTAGCAGGGGGTGGGGTAGGCTTCCCTGAAGAGGTGGGTTTTCAGGGTGTGCCTAAAGGAGAGGAAAGTAGGGGATAGTCTGATGGATTGGGGTAGGGAGTTCCAGAGTATGGGTGACGCCCTGGAGAAGTCCTGTAGGCGGGCATGGGAAGAGGAGACTAGGGAACTAGAGAGAAGGAGGTCTTTTTGAGGAGCAGAGAGTGCGTGTTGGGTGGTATTTGGATATCAGGTGGGTGATGTAGTTCGGGGCAGTATAGTGGACAGCTTTGTACGTCAGCGTTAGGATTTTGAATTTGATCCGTTGGGCAATCGGAAGCCAGTGGAGGGATTGGCAGAGGGGGGGGCGGAAACAGAGCGGTTGGTAAGGTGGATGAGTCTGGCTGCCGTATTCAGGATCGACTGAAGCGGGGATAGCATGTGGCAGGCAGGCCAGTGAGGAGGGAGTTGCAGTAGTCGAGTCGTGATATGATGAGGGAGTGGATGAGCTGCTTAGTGGTTTCTGGGGTTAGGAACGTGCGTATTTTGGCGATGTTGCGGAGGTGGAGTCTGCATGAGTTTGTTAGTGAATGGACTTGGGGCAGGAAGGACAGATTGGAGTCTAGAATGACACCTAGTACTCTGGCTTGCGGGGCGGGCCTGATGGTGGCATTGTTGGACGTGATGGAGAGCCGATTTCCAAAAGAGGTATTAATTGACGGGCCGCAAACAGGAAGAAACGTAACAAACACTTCCTCTGTGATGCCTGTTCCCAGATGTTTAGTTATCGTAGACAGATGACAGTTGCCAAGTTTTTTGGCAGATTGGGCCCAAATGATTTACTGCTCTTATGCGAGTCACCTGAGCAGGTGAGCAGGCCTGACCTGACTGCAATATACCCTTCCCTGCGATATGCAGTGCCAGCAGCAGGACAGCGGACCTTTCCTCCTTTCTCTTCCTGACTCTATAGAAAAAAAGCATGGCGATGGCCTATGCTTATTCACATAGAGAGCAAATTGTTTTTACACATCCGATTGTCTCTACAATATATTGGCAGCTCTACAGTACAGTGCCAAATCCCCGAAGATTAATAGAACTGAATGGTCTACAAACTGTAAACTCTTGACTATCACAGATTTTGCCTCTCTTGCTTACCTGATGTGGGTTCCAGTCACTGTCAAAGATGATGACGGTGTCTGCGGACTGCAAATTGAGGCCCAAGCCTCCAGCACGAGTACTGAGCAGGAAGATGAAGTATTCTGATCCAGGCTCATTGAAGGTCTTCAATAACATTCCACGGTCTTCTGCTTTAGTGGTTCCTAAAGGACAAGAAATACGTTCAGGATTTTGTGACTGTTACCAGAAGCATATAAAAAGGCATTATTTAACCTCCCTGGCAGTGTGATTATGTCAGTATTTCTGTGCTCAAAGCAGTACATTATTTTCAATGGAAATTTTTTTTTTTTTTGTTTGTAGGTCTGTAATTCTTAGGAATAATTGACTGAAACCTGTCCGAACAAGAGTCTAGTAAACATTCCAGGTATCATAAAATTTGAAACACGAAATCATAAATTATAATATAATAAATAATCATAAAAAATAATATCATAATAATAAATTTAATTCAATAATATAATCAAACCAAAAACACCGAAATTTGAAATATAGCGCCAAGTTTGCACATCGCTGAGCTCAGTCGCAAAATCGTTTTCAGTGTCTGATGACGAATTTCCCCCACGAATCATTATCACTCAATTCTGCAAATGGTTCTGATTTATTATCGCTGTTCCCTAGCTGGTCTAAAACCACTTTTGACCTAAAGGGACGCTTTTTGGACGCCATGGACGTTTCTCAGTTTCCAGGCAGAAAAAACAGTAAAAATGCAGGCAGGGCACAGGACAAAGCACTCGGGACAAAATGTATGTGAAATTCTTTGATACAGTAATGTAATACTATCAGATTTTAGTATATTGCGTGAATGTACAATTTTTTACATTTCTGAATTTCCCGATGGTTCCGTCCCCCATGCGTCCCGATGCTCACAGGGAACGGAACCCAGAAGACAGATGCCAGCATCGGCCGGAGGACATTGCCAGGGACGCTGCAGGGGGGACATCGCAGGACAAGGTAAATGAAACAGGGATCGCTGGAGAATCACTGCAGTGTATTCCCAAGTGCAGCTCGGAGTTACCGCTTCTGGTACTAAAAGTTAACCCCGAGCTACACTTGGGAATACCTCCAGGGAGGTTAACGAAAGGCCTTCTTCAAACAGCCAACAAGGTAGCCCTGCCAGAGAGCATGGCCAGATTCCCAACCTAGAAATAAGAACTAGCTTACCATCTAATCTGAGGTATTTAAAGCCACGATAAGCAAAATAATCCTCCATGATGGTCATGAGGGTGGTCATCTGACAGAAGAGTAGAACTTTGTGGTTGGTGGCTCGTAATTTGGGAAGAATTCGGTCAAGGAGCTCGAACTTTCCAGAGGCACGGTAGAGGTCCTGCCTATAAAACACAGAAGAGAAAGCTTTAGCAAAGTTTTGTCAACTCGTCATTAAGTACAGTCACTTCCATGTTAAGGTAGTTTTCGTTATCACTGGAAATGGAGGGAATACTCACCCCTGCACAATGCCTCCTGTGAAACCTAAGTGTTCGGAAAAGGATTCCTGCAAAGACATAATACCATAAAGTTCAGGGCCCACTAGGGTAGATGAGGAACAATATTTCCATAAAGAAAAGGGAATCTTTAAGACGCTCTCCAGAAAACACCGTGCAAATAGGACCTTGGCAAAAACAGAACCCTGGGCCTCAGCTACAAGGCAACAGTGCTGATCGTCGAGTTAAAAAAGTAGCAGAAGTGTCTGAGCTCACCTCTATATGCTGGAACATGTATGGGTGGTTGCAAATCTTCCTAAGCTGCATAATAGTGTTCATCAGGGTCTTTGTACCACCTTTACCCTGCAGGAAAATATACATGTCATCTACTGTACATGTCACCATAAGAGGCAGTAAGAGTCACTGCCAAAAATCTTACCTTTTTATCCTTCTCTGAACCGTCTGTAAGAAGAACTCCTTTGGCCTGCATATGCCTGTACAGAACCCTTTGTAACGCGGACATGTCACATTTAATGACATACTCAACCTAGAAAAAAAAAAAAAAAAAAAAAAAAAAGGATTCTTATAAAAAGGAAAAAAAAATGACATTACACATAGTAAAAACAACAGCCCTTTAGTCACAAGTTAGCCTTGAAAGGAGTACAGCCCAAGCGCTTTTGGCTGCACTTCTCCTGTGGATCACAGAAGTACAGTTTGTTCTGCACTCCTGTGACCCATTTTCAGCTGACAGTTTCAGTCCAATTTGGGGAAAAATCCCAACTCTAAAGTCGGGATCCACCTCAGAGTCTGTAGCGGCACTTAGCTCAGCCTCAGAGAGCCTGAGCCAACCACTCCCTGACCATCCACAGCCCTGCGCTCCAGTGAGCTGAACAGAGACTGACAGAGCTCCGCGGTCATGTGATCGCTGAGTTTTCACCCTTCGAGCCGGCGGGGAACAGATGCAACATCAGAGCAATTCATCCACCTCGGTAAGTGTGAACTGTGTAAAAAAAAAAATAATATATATATATAATAAAAATATATATATTTTTTTTCCATCTCTGTGCCTGCGAGGGTTTCCTTCGGGTACTCTGGTTTCCTCCCACACTCCAAAGACATGCTGGTAGGGACAATTTAGACAGGATCCAATTAACCTAATATGTGCATGTATGAATGTGAGTTAGGGACCTTAGATTGTATGCCCCTTGAGGGTTAGGGACTGATGTGAATGTACAATATATATGTAAAGCACTGCGTAAATTGACGGCGCTATATACAGTCAGGTCCATAAATATTGGGACATCGACACAATTCTAACATTTTTGGCTCTATACACCACCACAATGGATTTGAAATGAAACGAACAAGATGTAATTTAACTGCAGACTGTCAGCTTTAATTTGAGGGTATTTACATCCAAATCAGGTGAACGGTGTAGTAGAATTACAACAGTTTGCATATGTGCCTCCCACTTTTTAAGGGACCAAAAGTAATGGGACAATTGGCTTCTCAGCTATTCCATGGCCAAGTGTGTGTTATTCCCTCATTATCCCAATTACAATGAGCAGATAAAAGGTCCAGAGTTCATTTCAAGTGTGCTATTTGCATTTGGAATCTGTTGCTGTCAACTCTCAAGATGAGATCCAAAGTGCTGTCACCATCAGTGAAGCAAGCCATCATTAGGCTGAAAAAACAAAACAAACCCATCAGAGAGATAGCAAAAACATTAGGCGTGGCCAAAACAACTGTTTGGAACATTCTTAAAAAGAAGGAACGCACCAGTGAGCTCAGCAACACCAAAAGACCCGGAAGACCACGGAAAACAAACTGTGGTGGATGACCGAAGAATTCTTTCCCTGGTGAAGAAAACACCCTTCACAACAGTTGGCCAGATCAAGAACACTCTGCAGGAGGTAGGTGTATGTGTGTCAAAGTCAGCAATCAAGAGAAGACTTACCAGAGTGAATACAGAGGGTTCACCACAAGATGGAAACCATTGGTGACCCTCAAAAACAGGAAGGCCAGATAAGAGTTTGCCAAACGACATCTAAAAAAGCCTTCACAGTTCTGGAACAACATCCTATGGACAGATGAGACCAAGATCAACTTGTACCAGAGTGATGGGAAGAGAAGAGTATGGAGAAGGAAAGGAACTGCTCATGATCCTAAGCATACCACCTCATCAGTGAAGCATGGTGGTGGTAGTGTCATGGCATGGGCATGTATGGCTGCCAATGGAACTGGTTCTCTTGTATTTATTGATGTGACTGCTGACAAAAGCAGCCGGATGAATTCTGAAGTGTTTGGGGCAATATATCTGCTCATATTCAGCCAAATGCTTCACAACTCATTGGACGCCGCTTCACAGTGCAGATGGACAATGACCCAAAGCATACTGCAAAAGCAACCAAAGAGTTTTTTAAGGAAAAGAAGTGGAATGTTATGCAATGGCCAAGGCAATCACCTGACCTGAATCCGATTGAGCATGCATTTCACTTGCTGAAGACAAAACTGAAGGGAAAATGCCCCAAGAACAAGCAGGAACTGAAGACAGTTGCAGTAGAGGCCTGGCAGAGCATCACCAGGGATGAAACCCAGCGTCTGGTGATGTCTATGCGTTCCAGACTTCAGGCTGTAATTGACTGCAAAGGATTTGCAACCAAGTATTAAAAAGTGAAAGTTTGATTTATGATTATTATTCTGTCCCATTACTTTTGGTCCCTTAAGAAGAAGTGGGAGGCACATATGCAAACTGTTGTAATTCCAACACTGTTCACCTGATTTGGATGTAAATACCCTCAAATTAAAGCTGACAGTCTGCAGTTAAAGCACATCTTGTTCGTTTCATTTCAAATCCATTGTGGTGGTGTATAGAGCCAAAAATGTTAGAATTGTGTCGATGTCCCAATATTTATGGACCTGACTGTAAGTACCTGATATATATATATATATATATATATATATACACACACACACATATACATATATATACACACACATATATACATACACACACTTTTTTTTTTAATTACATATTTTTTTTCCCCATGTTGATCACATCAATCAATCAGGTCTCAGCTGTGATTTTTTTTTCAATTTATAAAGCTCTTACCTTTTCTGGCAGCTGAGCTTCCACTTCTTTCTTAAGCCTTCGAAGCAAGAAAGGGCGGAGGACTTTGTGAAGACGACGAATAATTAGAATCGTTTCTTCTTCATTTAAATCCACCTAAATTAAAGAAAGAAAATTGTGTTAAGATAATTATTCGTGGTTCTAATTCAAAACAGCAATAACAACACACAGCTGAGGTCTGACCATAAAAATTTGAGTTTTTTGTACTTACCATAAAATTCTTTCCTCCGTTATTGTGAACTTTTACTTTGTACAAATATGGTATATGCAACTTGTTCAAGCTGTCCTATCTGCTCCTATGCATGTCTGATCTATACTAGTTTGACTTCTGATTGATTCTTTACACCCGTGATGTTTTAATTTATGACATTGATTCTTATTATGCTTCATCTATATTGATATTACACAACTATTTTCTATACTGTTCTGTTACAGAAGTCGTATGGCTTCAGTAACAGAACTGGCTAATATCACGTATTCTGTACTATATTTTGCACTTGCTAATAGGTTTGTACACAAAATTTTTTTTCTCTGAGAGACAAAGTTAATAATTGAAGATCAAGCATATACAAGAGAGTTATAGCATAATCTACAGGAATAAGATACTTGATACAGAAAGAATAAATAGGCAACGGGGGGGGGGTTATACAGCCGCTATATGTTGAAATCAGAAAAAAAAAAAAAAAAAAATGGGCAGGCGTAAGGATTTACACGACTTTGTATGACTACGACTGGGTCAGAGCAACTCCAAAACTGCAGCTTTTTTGGAATGTTCCTGGTCTGCAGTGGTCAGGACCTTCCAAAAATGGTTCAAAGGAAGAAAAACCGGTCAACTGGCTACAGGGTCATGGCCGGCCAAAGCTCATTGATGCACGTGGGGAATTAAGGCTGGCAAATGTGGAACAAAGCAACCGTAGAGCTACTTTAGCTAAAAATTGCTGAAAAAGTAAATGCTGGTTCTAAACGGTGTTGGAAAACACAGTGCATCTCAGTTTAACTGGTCTGACGCTGTGCTAACCAAAAACAAGAACAGTTCCTTAACCACTTCCAGTCCGGACACTTTCACCTCCTTCCTGTCCAGGCCAATTTTCAGCTTTCAGCGCCATCACACTTTGAATGACAATTGCACGGTCATGCAACACTGTACCCATATGAATTTAGCTTTTTTTTTTTTAGACAGATAAAACTTTATTTTGGTGGTATTTATTCAACACGGGGATTTTTATGCTATATAACTTAGAAAGTCAAAAAAATGGGTTTTTTAAATAACATTTTGCAAATAAATCTTTTGTCTTAAATCTTGGCCAAAATGTATTCAGTTATCTTTTTTGTAAAAAAAAAAGAAAATAACACAAATTGGTTTAGAACCAAAAATTATAATTTGTCAAAATTTTTATCTACATTATTTTATTTTTGTATATTATTAATGGTTTTGTTTTTTTTTAACATACTGTCACCCTAGCAGTACTGTGTCACCGTAGTGACACTGTACTACTTGTAGGGGGTGATGAAGATTTTTTTTTTTTTTTTTTTTACACTGATTGCTTTTACACTCAAAGGCTGCAAAAGCAATCATTTCTCCTCTCTGGCTGCATTCTTGCAGCCACTGAGAAATGCTGTGAGAGCTGTGATTGGTCACAGCTTGTCACATGGTACAAGGCTGTTGTGAATAGCCTTGTACCATGTGACCTTTGTGATCATTTACACATTTCACACGTAGTAAGCAATGATGTCAGAAGTGACATCTTGCTTACTACTCTTCATGGGATTACTGATTGACGAATCAGTGATCACATGATTGGGAACTCGCACAGAGGTCCCGTACAACGATCGGTTGCGCACACAAGCAGGGAGGACGTTTATAAACAGCCACCCGCCCCTGCACTGCTTCCATCTGGCCATGTATATACATGGGCCGTACGGGAAGTGGTTAACGCTCAACGCTGAGTGAAAAACTGACAGTCGGCAGTTAAGCCACCTACAGTCCTGTCCTTGCTGCCCATTTAGTTTTCTTTTGCACTTATTGTCCTCCTCCTGTAGATGACACTATAACCCACTTGTATATACTGTAGGTCTGAAAGTTCTAATTTTTCCAGTCTGTGGTGTATCTAGTAGTAGTTTGTCACATTCAAAAGGGACTTGTTCTGTAATCCTGAAGACAAAAACAGCTGTGTCTTTCAATAAGAAAAAAAAAAAAAATACCTTCATCTATTTTGTATTGGACAAAATACAGAAAGAAAAGCCCTTCTGACATTGGTTTTCAGAACGTGTCCACTTTTCAAAGTCTTAGAAAATCCAACATTTTGGTTGTTCACCATCACCTTCTATCCCCGTAACAACAATCAAAATAAAAGGGAAGGTGAATCTCTCCAAAAGGGATACAGATATTCTGTTTCTCCAGGCATAGATGTAAGATTTAGATTGGTTTTATTATAGAAAACCCCACATGAAAAAAAACATATATTTGAAATATATTTAAAAAATATTCTTCCCAAATATATTGCCACGTATTTGAAATGCTAAATTTTTGGCCATATTCTATATATATATATATATTTTTTTTTTTTTTTTCATGTTGAAATGCATTATTATAAAATATGGAAAATATTTTTAAAAAACTACATTTCAAATATACTGTATGTCTTTAACCTCTTCCCGCCTGGCCTATGGCCGAATAGCGACCGACAAAAACACTCACCTTTCCAGGTGGACGCCATATGGCGTCCTTTCGGGCATGCGCAGTTTGCGCGCCTGCAGAGTACGTCAGACTGTCTACTCTGCAAAAGGGGTCATTTGGGGGATATCTGTACTGTTCTGACATTCTTGGACCTCAAGAAATTAGATTGGCTGTCAGTACTTCTGGATTGATCAATACTCATATATCCCATAGCTTGTGAACTCTATTACTTTCCTACAAACTAAAAAATACATCCTAATTTGGGGTATTTTCACCAAAGACATGTAGTAGAATACATCTCGGCCTAAATTTATGAAGAACAATTATTTATTTGCAAACTTTTATAATAGAAACAAAGAAAAACATGTTTTTTGTTTCAAAATTTTTGGATTTTTTTTGTTAATTTAGCAAAAAATAAAAACCCCAGTGGTGATTAAATACCACCAAAAGAAAGCTCTAGTTGTGTGAAGAAAATGATAAAATTTTAGTTTGGGTACAATGTTGTATGACCACGCAATTGTCATTCAGAGTGGGAGAGCGCTGAAACCTGAAAATTGGCCTGGGCAGGAAGGAGGTAAAAGTGCCCTGTATGGAAGAGGTAAAAAATCCAAATCTACATTTTTGGAATGCATTTACAAATATATGTAAAAATATGTTAAAATGGCTTTTATATGTTAAAAAAAAATCTGAAGAATGTATTAAAAAAAAAATTTTTTTGTAAAATATATATATTTTTCAAATATATTCTTCAGATTTTTTTTAACATAAAAAAAGTCTTTTTAACATATATTTTTACATATATTTGTAAATGAATTCCAAAAATGAAGATTTCGATTTTTAAAGGCATGCAGTATATTTAAAATTTATTTTTTAAAATATAACATATTTTTCATATATTTCCTAATAAAAAAAAAAAAGCATTTCAACATGCAATAATATATATATATACATACATACATACATACATACATACACGTACCATTTCAACTTTATGGCAATATATTTGGGAAAAATAATTTTAAAATATATTTTTGTTCCATATGGGACCAGTCTCCAAATTTTCCATATATCAGGCACCTTATACAGTGTTAGCATACCTTCTCTCCAGTCATTGCAAAGGGAGCGTTGAACCACTGTTCAAATGTGCTGCAGCTCTTGAAAATAGTTGGCAGCAGGAAGTTCAGAAGTGCCCACAGCTCGGGCAGTTTGTTCTGTAGAGGGGTACCGGTAAGAAGCAGGCGACGAGGGGCCACATAGTGAGTATTAAGGACTTGTGTTAGCTTGCAGTGATGGTTCTTCATACGATGACCTTCATCGACAATCATATACTTCCAACGGATCTAGAAGGCACAACCCAAGGCTGAGAACCGGAAATGTGAAGTCAAAGATCTTTCTTCAGATTTAGTCATGAGAATTTGCTCTTACCTTGGCCAGGATGTGCTTGTCTTTGATGATATATTCATATGTAGTAAGCAGAACATTAAATTTTCCACTGCGGAGTATAGGGACAAATGCACGGCGAGCAGCAGGGGATCCCTAGAGAGGAAGATGTCGATTACACAAAGCACTGCATTGTGGCTGAACAAATTATGTCAATAAGAAATAAGTCCTATAAGCCACACATCACTGCAAGACCCTGTACAGAGATGTATGACATCCACACACCCCATCACGTTTTACTCCACCCCCGAAGCTTAATCATGGGTACCCAGGTAGAGGAGCGAAATGCGTTGGAGGGATGTGGTCTCGCTGGAGCCTGGGCTGAGGAGGCCCCATCTATGTACAGGGTCTGGTAGTGATGTGCGGCTTATAGGACTTTTTGCTTCTTGTTTGACTTTTGGAGCAGGGATGAACTCCATCCTTGCAGTATGTTGAGGGTCTTGAGCAGCACCCATCATTTCAGTTTTAGTTCACAGTGAAAAAATTATGTAGTACGCTATACAGTTCAATAACCTACCTTGTATGATATTTTCACCACAGAGGGTCCCCACTTGTCAAACTCATAAACCCAGTTAGATAGTGTCCTGAAAATGGAAAGTTGAAAAGGATTCAAGTTTAAGCAGAGAGTACAGGCCTTCAGCTGATCTTAGAGTTTGTGTTCATTGGAGTAGGGGGTGACATATGGGAATACTCAAAAGGGTAGAATACTTAAGGCTATTGGTAACCAACCTGTACCAAAATACCTCATAATGCCCTTGGACACATGTTGGGTGGCCCTTGGACATCAGCAGTCTGTTTTGGTATGGTAGCATTGATATGTATAGGGAAAACAGCAGTGATCTCTACTAGCTTCAAGGTAAATGGTCCCAGGCTCTCACTGTGTTTGTTAACATGTCTTCAGTCTCTAACCAAACCTGTAGCATATCCACTGACTATCATTTCCTCTAGTTTACCTGAAGCCTCTTGCAGTACTCTCTAGCATTAGTTATAATGCATTTTACATATGGTCCTTTGGTGATTAAGGAACCACAGTCCGCCTAAACCTCGTAAATTGACAACCACTACTTTAGACAAAGGTTTAGAAAGCTTGAAGTCACTATGTCAAGCCTTGTCATGTAGCACCCCCAAAGTAAATGGTACACTAAGTCAGTACTCATCCATGGATTTAAAAAAAAAAAAAAAAAACAAAAAAAAAACAAAAAACACACAAGTCATGTGACCCCACCTCATGTGACATCAATGATGTCACATGGGGTGGGTCACTTGGGTGATGTTCCCAGGGGACCCCGCCCCTTACATAATTAACCCCTTGGCGCCGGCGCCTCCCGGCCCTTTAAGGGTTCCGGGAGGCGGGGCAGAGTTTTAGGGTCATGGGACTGCCGTGATTCGCGGTCACATGATTGGGAAAGGTCCCGATCGAAACCTTTCTGTGAGAACCGAACGTGTGTGCTGGGAGCGCGCAGGGCGAGCACTCTCAGCACGTGTTTTTTTAATAGTACGCAAATGTGGGGCTGCTCAGCGTGAGGCCGCACATTTGCGTTCGGCTGGTGCCAAGAAGTTAAGAACTGTCAAACCACCGGAGCAGACAGACAGAGGGAGCCATCATCTGAAGCTAAGCTTTAACTTTTTTTTTTTTCTTCAATTCTTTTTTTCGGGTCAGCGGCAGGCATTGTGATCGACGTTGGATCTACTGCGGGGGATATTTATTTCTTTTAATAAAGGACTTGTCAAAGACCATGTCCTGTCTTTTTGAGCCCCCCCCCTGCCCCAAAGCACCCTCCCCCCCCATGTTCAGGGCATGTGGCCTGGTATGATCCAGGAGGGGGTTGTACTCGCTTGTCCCCCCCCCCCCCCCCTTTCCTGACCTGCTGGGTTGCATGCCCGGATAAGGGTCTAGTATGGATGGGAGGGAGGACCCCAAGCCGTTTTTTTTTTTTTTTTTAAATTGCTAGCAATTCTTTCACATTCTGTGGTCAGTGGGGAACCCCGCTGACAGCTGAAACATTAACACATGGTTCTCACTACTAAAATACCGCATGACGTGATAAAATAACTCAGGCAGTATTTTAGTAGCGTTTACTTTTTTCTGACCTCAGGAACGGATTAATTGGTTTTCAATGCATTCCTATGGGAAATGGTGTGTCGGTTTATGAATTTTTCGCTATACAAAAAGTCCCTCAGAACGAATTAAATTCGTAAAACCGAGGTATGCCTGTATATGGAAAAGAGGTAATCTTCCATCCTGTGGAATGAGATCGCTCAAGTGGAATGGGAGGGGCTCTCTGTTTTAAAGCCAAGCGAAGACCTTTTTTTTTTTTTTTAGAAAAGCTATACATTGATACTTACGACAGTGGCACTATGATGAGGAATGGCCCGTTGATGCGCTTGTGTTCCATGAGGTATGTGATCAGAGCAATCGTCTGTATAGTCTTTCCGAGACCCATCTCATCAGCCAGGATCCCATTCAGATTGTTGTTATAGAGGGACACGAGCCACTCCAGGCCTTTGATCTGACAGCACATGGTGTGAGAAGAAAGCAGTGATACAAATGTTACAACAGAAAGACAGTTTTGCTTGTGAAAGTCTAATTCACAGATCATTAAATGTGTAGAATGGTCAGCAATGTTCATCAAAATAGCCTTGAAAAGGTCTTGATGAACCTGAAAGATTGCTGTGTTTAGCAAACTACAAAAGCCCTTTAACCCCTAACATATAGGTGCCACGACCTAAAGGTAGTCTTTAACCCCTTGCCTACTTGGCAATTTTACCCCCTTCCTGCCCAGGCCAATTTTCACCTTTCAGCGCTGTTGCACTTTGAATGACAATTACAAGGTCATGCAACACTGTGCCCATAAACCTTTTTTCACACAAAATAGAGCTTCCCTTTGGTAGTATTTAATTGCCACTGGGGTTATTTTTTGCACTATAAAACAAAAAAAAGCAAAACATTCGAAGAAAAAAAAAAAAAAGGTTTTTCTTTGTTTCCATCATAAAATTTTGCAAACAAAATAGGCAGCACTGATGGGCACTGATGAGGTGGCACAGAGAGGCAGCACTGATGGGCATTGATGAGGAGGCACAGATGATGCTGCACTGATAGGCAGAACTGATGAGTGACACTGGTGGGCACTGATGATCAGTGCCCCGATTATCAGTGCAGATCTGCTCTGTGACATTTGCCGGTTATTGGTAGTACTTTGCTCACACTGTGACAGTGTGAGGAAAGTGCTGCTGATAACTGGCAACTGTATTTACTTTGTGATCTGCTGTGTCATTGGACACATCTGATCACGTGGTAGCTGAGATCAAACACCTTGCCTTATCTTGTGTCCATCCTGCTTGCAATTTGTTAAGGGCAGGACACATCCCCCATGTGACATTTATTAGCTCTTCATTGAAGGATTGCCTAACCCCCCCCCCCCCCCCCCCCCCCCCCCCCCCCCCCCCCCCCAAGTCCATCCAAGTATCAATTCAATACAGTCCATGGGACGGCTGGCGAGGGTCAGGTTAGCATTCCTTGCGCTAAGTACATGGCACTTTCAACACGGCACTTTAACTAAGGCAAGTACAAACATTAGTGCTCCACCTCAAGTAGATTGCATGTGCTCTTCCCTCTCTCTGTCTGCCTTCCTTTGTTATCTCTCCTCTCTCCAGCATGCTCTTGCTAACTCTTTGTTGCTATAATGCCCTTTCTTCTCAAACTCTCTCGTTTACCCCTCCTCCCCATCACACAACCTGTACATATCACCCTCACTTCTGCCCTCCCAATATCACTGCACTTATCTCCTGCTCTCTCTTGGTCCACATAATGTCACCGCTACAAAAGCACTGCGGCATCTGCCCTTATATAAATCTCGCTCCCACCCCACCTCCCTCACCCTCCTACTACTAACTTCTGGAGACATTGCCCCAAACCCTGGCCCTCCACCATCAAACTCCAACCCACAGAAGCAGCAGCCCTCACTCTCTCATCTCAATTCCCCTGCTTCCACGCACCAACCCCTCCCTACTATGTGCCCTCTGGAATGCCCGCTCAGCCTCTAACAAACTCTCTACTATCAATGACCTCTTCCTCTCCCACTCCCTCAACCTTCTTGCGATTACCGAAACCTGGCTCCAGGATTCCGATTCTGACTCCTCAGCTGCACTCTCCCATGGCGGCCTCCTCTGGACTCACTCGGCCAGACCCAGCAGACGAAAAGGGGGCGGAGTCAGCCTTCTTTCCCCACAAAGCACGTTCCAGGTTCTTCCTGCCCCTCCGTCTCTGTCCCGCAGCTCTATTGAAGTGCGCTGTATTCGTCTCTATTCTCCTGTTTGTCTGAGGATCGCTGTCATCTACTGGCCCCAGTTTCACGCTTTCTCGATGACTTTTCAGCATGGCTACCATACGGTCTCTTCTCCGAGGTGCCTGCCATCATCCTCGGTGACTTTAACATCCCAGTCAATGTTCGCACCCCTGCCACCTCTCAACTACTCAACCTAACTTCCTCTTTTAACCTAACACAATGGTCACAATCCACCACCCACACCAATGGCAATACCCTTGACCTTGTATTCACCCACCTATGCACTCCCTGTAACCTCTCTAACACCCCTTTTCCTCTCTCTGATCACATCATTATCAGCTTCACACTCTCCCTGCCTCCTACCTCCCATGCCTCCAACCAGCAAACTGTTACCTGTAGAAACCGCCATCACCTCAGCCCTGACCTTCTCCACTTCGCTACTGAGCGCCTCTATGATGAAATTGCACCCCTGTCCTGCCCAGAGCTGGCCACATCTGCCTACAACTATTATCTATCATCCTCCCTGGACGCTCTTGCTCCTCTTTCTACATGCAGAACCAGATCTCGCCTGTCACAACCCTGGCAAACAGATGACACCAGAAGTCTCAAGAGACGCAGCCGCACTCTTGAGCGAGCATGGCATAAAAATAAATCCCTGGAAAATTTTACCCTCTACAAGTCCGCTCTTCTCAAATACAACTCCAGCCTCCGCGCTGCTAAGCAAACCTACTACAACACTCTCATCAAGACCCTCTCATCCAATCCTCGTCAACTCTTCTCTACCCTTAATTCCTTACTCCACCCCCCACTGCCTCCACCCACCAACTTACTTACTGCACAGCAGATTGCCAGTCACTTCAAGAAGATCGACAATTCGTGATGAGATCTCCAGTGTCAAGCTTCCTCCTCTAACCAATATCCCAGGCCCAACACCAAACTCCACACTCTCCTTCTTCGACCCTGTTACCACCAAGGAATTTACCGATCTCCTTTCCAAGGCTCACTTCACCACCTGTCCCCTGGATCCTGTCCCCTCTCGACTGTTGCAGCCTCCTTCTTGCTCTATCCTTAACTCTCTAACCCACATCTTCAACCTCTCACTCTCCATGGGCACCTTTCCCTCCCCACTCAAACATGCACTGGTTACCCCCATTCTCAAAAAACCCTTGCTGGACCCCACCTGTTTGAATAACTTAAGACCCATCTCCCTGCTCCTGTTTGCCTCCAAGCTTCTCGAGCGCCTTGTTCACAACCGTATGAACTGCTACCTCACCAACAACAACCTTCTTGATCCGAGACAGTCTGGCTTCAGCCCACAACATTCCACAGAAACTGCCCTACTAAAACTCACTAATGACCTACTAACTGCTAAAACCAACGGCCATTACTCTATACTCATACTCCTCGACCTTTCCGCTGCCTTTGACACAGTCGACCACCCGCTCCTCCTCAGTAAACTCCACTCCATCGGCCTCCGTGACTCTGCTCTCTCCTGGTTCTCCTCTTACCTTTCTCAACGCACTTTCAGTGTCACATACAACTCCTCCTCCTCCGCTCCCTCTTTCTGTTGGGGTACCCCAAGGTTCTGTTCTTGGGCCCCTCCTTTTCTCTCTCTATACCTCCTCCCTGGGCCAACTGATAACCTCCCATGGCTTCTAATACCACCTCTATGCTGATGACATCCAGATCTATCTCTCCACTCCCCAGCTCACCCCCTCAATCTCACATATCACAAATATACTAAGCGACATATCAGCATGGATTTCACATCACTACCTCAAACTCAATCTTTCAAAAACTGAGCTTGTAATATTTCCTCCCCCCGATCCCCCACTCATGACTTTACCATTAAGATCAACAGCACAACTATTGGTCCTTCCCCTCATGCCAGGGTGCTAGGTGTAATCGTAGACTCTTACCTCGCCTTTGGGCCCCACATCCAATCACTGGCTAAATCCTGCCACCTCAACCTCCAGAACATTTCCAAAATCCAACCCTTCCTGACCAATGACACCACAAAACAACTTATCCACGCCTTGGTTATATCCCACCTCGATTACTGCAACTCCCTCCTCATTGGTCTACTATTACACAGGCTATCCCCCCTTCAGTCTATTATGAATTCTGCTGCTAGACTCATACACCTTACCAACCGATCAGTGACTGCTGCCCCTCTCTGCCAATCCCTCCACTGGCTTCCACTAACCCAACGTTTAAAATTCAAAATACTAACCACAGCTTACAAAGCCATCCACAACATTGCCCCTAGCTACATCACCAACCTCATCCACAGATACCGCCCAAATCGCCCACACCGCTCCTCCCATGATATCCTCCTCTCTAGTTCCCTCATCACCTCCTCTCACGCTCGCCTCCAGGACTCCTCCAGAGCCTCTCCCGTCCTCTGGAACTCCCTACCACAGCATGTCCGGTCAGCCCCCACCCTGTCTGCCTTTAGGCGATCTTTAAAAACTCACTTCTTCAGGGAAGCCTACCCCACCTCCACCTAAGAACTGTACTTGAATCACCTCCACCAGATCATCCCCCGCAGCTATCACCTTTTGTATCACCTCCCCCTTCCTTTAGATTGTAAGCTCCATGAGCAAGGCCCTCCTATTCCTTCTGTACTGAAATGTATTGTAATTGTACTGTCTCCCTTATATTGTAAAGCGCTGCGCAAAGTGTTGGCGCTATATAAATCCTGTATAGTAATAATAATAATAATAATAATAATAATAATAATAATAAAAGGCTACTGTGATTGGCCTTTTACCTAGACATGTGATTAGCTGTGTCCATAGGATACAGTGATCACCTTCAGGGCCGGGTGCACGCTCTGGAAGGACGTCATATGCGGTTGTAAAGTGGTTAAAGTATACGTGAACCCTCACATTGTAAAACAACCCATTCGTTTTAAAAACACATTATAAACAGCTTTTTTTCCCTTTTTATGAGTGATCAAATACCCTCCGATCTGAGCTGCATAAAGAATTCAGAGAGCTGGGGGAGGACAAACAACAGAACACTGGTCTTCCTAGTGAATGATTTTGCAAGGGGAGGCATGTTAGCACAAGGCTCATCATTGGACGAGAGTGGGCTGAGTACCCCGCACAGCCAGAAAAACTGACCACACTGTGATCTCATGCCTAGGTTTTAATAGGCAAGCAGAATGACTGGCAGGAACACCAGGGATTTCACACAAAGAACAGTATACTTTTTAAAACACAAGTACATGGTACAACAGGCAGATATCAGGAATATGAAATATTGGAGCAACATTTTTTGAACGTCCACACGTGACACATATGCATCACTGGGTGGCTGATGTTTATGTGCCACTGGATGGACAACTCTCGCTCTGGACTCAAGTTTGACATCCAACAGGAACACCTTCCAATCATGTGATCACTGTCAATCCCACCCAGTGGGAGGGAAGGGGTTAACAGTGTGATTCCCTAGCCCAAGTCTAAAGAGCAAACAATGGCCCTCTATATTAGACCTCACACAGACCTGGAATGCCAGGAGCTTTGCATTGCATTAGGCCTTGTCAGCTCCAGGTAAAAGTGAATTTGAGGTGTGTAATATGGCAAGTGGTGGAGTACAGAAAGCACAGTGCTTGAATCTTTCTAGATGGCAGTGCAGTAGTCCAGTCAAATGGCTTAAAGTGGTTGTAAAGGCTCAAAGTTTTTTACCTTCATGCATTCTATGCATGAAGGTAAAAAAAACCTTCTCTGTGCAGCAGCCCCCCTAATTCTACCTAAGCCCCCTCTCGATCCAGCGATGTGCACTGGAATCTTTGCTATCCCGAGATTCCCTCTTCTCATTGGAGGAGACAGAAGCGGGAGCCATTGGCTCCCACCACTGTCAATCACAGCCAGTGAGCTAATGAGGAGAGGGGCGGGGCCGAGCCAATAAGAAAAGCGAGGGGGCTGAGCGCAGCTGCGCCTCCATGTGTAAAAGGACACACAGAGCAGCGGGTGCCCCCCACAGCAAGCTGCTTTCTGTGGGGGCACCTGACAGAAGGGAAGGGCTAGGAGCACCAGTGGGGGACCCAAGAAGAGGAGGATCCAGGCTGCTCTGTGCAAAACCCACCGCACACAGCAGGTAAGTATAGACAGGTTTGTTATTTTTTTTCTTTAAAAAAAAAAAAAAAAAAAAAAATAGGCCTTTAGAATCATTTTAAGAGCTTGTATTAGAGCTGGCAGACACTGTATGAGAAAATCCTATTTGTATATTAAATGTTACAAAGTTTGAAGTATTGTGATCTGACAAAGTCCATGTCAATGAAAGATCAATGAGTACTGTATATAAAATGTAGAACTGTATTGGCTCACAGAGCGACGTGTCTTCCCCTCGTCCTCACCTGGTACTGTTTGAGAACACCATTCACCAAAAGGCTGGACTGCTTGTCTACTCTCTCACTAACAGCATGTGCTACGGCATAGTAGGACTGCGGGCCTGTAGGGGCAGCGTGAGATATGCTGTACTCGTCATCCACATCCTGGCGGGCGCTCCTAGGGGCGAGAAGAGAACCATCCCATGGCATCAGAGTCTTACTAAGCATTTGTACATATGAATTCGAAAGCAGTAACAGGGCAGACACAAACCACAACGAATCCTTCATCACAGAGCTTGAGAAGCATGGAGGACCTAAATGGCATGTCTGTACCTTCAGCAGAACAGCCAGGAAGCCCCCCCATTTCCCCCCCCACATAATAGTTTTCTTTGAAGAGCAAAGGATAGATTTCCTTCAGAATGGGCTGCTTATGTCTTCTAGACATTTGAGCTCCACAGGTTCCTATATAGAAAAGAAAAAACTCCTAATCAAAATTTTTTTTGCTCAGACCACCACAGGAGATTGTAGGTAAACACACAAAAAGACCGGATTAATGGGTAATTATTACATTTTGTGGTTTAAAGAGGAATTTGACCCCCAACCCCTATTTTGTTCTTCCCCACTTGCCTGATGCTCTGTGTGCATTTAAGATACTCACCCACCAGCAGATCCAGTATTGTCCTGCTGAGATCCTCTTCTTAGCAGCCGCAGCTGGGTCCCACATCACCATGTTACTGAAAGACTGCGCCAGCTCTTCGGGGTTCTGGTACAGCTTTCTGATGTTGGGCTGCTAAGCCCACCCCCCCTTCTCTGTTAGTGAATGGGGATGACGTGCAGGGTTTCCGGTGCCTCCTTGATGTCACATATTCCAGGAGGCACGGATCTAATTTGCCTAGGCGAATGACAGAGGATTGGGGGGGGTGCTGTCAACACTTTGAATGACAACTGCGCAGTCATGCAACACTGTACCCATATGAAAATGTTATAATTTTTTTTTTTCACACAAGTAGAGCTTTCTTCCTCTGGGTTTTTTATTTTTTGCACTATAAAACGAAAACCTTTTCGAGCAAAAATTTTGAGAAAAAAAAAAAAAAGTTTTCCTTGTTCCCATTATAAAATTTTACACAGGTAATTTTTCTTCTTCACTGATGTGCATTGATGAGGCTGCACTGATGGGCACTGATGTGCATTGATGAGGCTGCACTGATGAGGAGGCACTGATGGGCAGCACTAATGGAGCATTGAGGAGGCACTGATGAGGCGGCACGGATAGGCAGCATTGATGAGAAGGCACTGATGAGCAGGCACGGATAGGCAGCATTGATGAGAAGGCACTGATGAGCAGGCACGGATAGGCAGCATTGATGAGGAGGCACGAATATGCATGCAGCACCAACGGGCACAAATTGGCAGCACTGCTCGGCACTTTTGGGGCTGCACTGATAATCAGTGCTCTGATTATCAGTGTAGATGTCTACTTTCAGACTTGTCCAATCACAGCTGATCACTATGTAAACACACTTGCCGGTTTTCGGCAGTGCTTTCCTCACGCTGTCACAGCATGAGGAAAGTACTAACTGGGCAGTACTTTCCTTATGCTGTGACAGCATGAGGAAAGCACTGCCGAAAACCGGCAAGTGTGTTTACATAGTGATCAGCTGTGATTGGACACAGCTGATCAGGTGGTAAAAGGCCGTTGTCATCGGCACTTTACTGTGTCATGTGATCAGCTGTGTCCAAAAGATGTGCACCGCCGGGGGCACTGTTCTAGGAGCACGTCATATGACGCCCTCCCAGAACTGGGCTGTAGCTGTCATTCTGCTATAGCGCGGCCAACAAATGGTTAAGCTGCTGGGTAGAACACTCACTCGATAATCTCCCGAGCACATGCTTCCGAAACATCATCACTGTCTGGATCAGCGATTTTCTTCTCTTCCACTGCAGGCTTAGCGGTGACAGTGGCTGAAGACTGGTCCTCCTCCTCTTCCTAAGTATAAAGACAGATCACGATTAGGATGAAGCGATTATGTACTAGAAATGATCGATGAATGCATTACAAGCACCCCCTGGATTCTCTAGTTAGTAAGTCTAAAGCAGCACCCAAAGACTTGAAAGATCAAGTCATCATTCTGTGCAGGATGGGACAAAACAAAGGCCACTGAGCTGCGGGCAACGTAAACCCCACGTGCATGCCATTTAGGCCCCTTTCACATGGGGTGGACTCCGTTTAGATCTGCAGGGGATCAGTCTGCAGATCAGAGCAGAGCAGGCGGATCACAGGTCAGTGTCTCAGTTAGTTTTTGCAGAGCAGACAGACAGAGCCCTACGCTCTGGGCAGTTGGGTGTAAACCGACTGTGCTGTCCATTTATATCTGCCTGCCCTCCCATCCGATCCGCCTAGACAGAGACAGACTAATCCCTTTCCTTTTTTTTGTTGTTTTTCTTTTTTCAGCAGACCAGATCGGAGTGGAGGTAGATGGGTGTAAATGGACAAAAGTCTGTTTGCACCTACCATTTCACAGGCTTGAGAGGAGGGTCTGATCATGTCCAGCTGTGAAAGAGGAGTAAAGGTTATCAAAATGCATAAACATGCTTGCCTCCCTCCTTCAAGAATGTAACTGAGTGGAATGAAAAGTAAAATAAATGGATTCTGTTCCCTGTAAGAAAGGAGACCCTAGGTGATATACAGAGACAGATGCTAGTTAATGGACACGGCTCCACCCATCTCATGAGAAGCAATCTGGCGCCTTCTGAGAATTGCAATGGCAGGTTCAGTGCATCTTCACCCTGAATCCGACCCCTCACACTACACCTAACACTACCAAAGTCAAATACTCAGCAGCAAAACATTGAAATGTTAAAACATGGCTTTGTCAGAAACAACAAAAAAGTGTAAGTGTACATATACAGTGGGTATAAAAAGTGTACACCCCCTGTTAAAGTGTCAGGTTTCTGTGATGTAAAAAAAAAATGAGAAAGATAAATCACTTCAGAACTTTTCCCACCTTTAATGTGACCTATAAACTGTACAACTCAATTGAAAAAATGAAATTGTTTAGGGAGGGGGAAAATAAACATAAAAAACTAAAATAATATGGTTGCATAAGTGTACACACCCTTAAACTAATACTTTGCTGGAATCACATCAAAAAGTGGCTTCAACACTCAGTCATTTTGGGTATGAGTCTATCAGCATGGTACATCTTGACTTGGCAATATTTGCCCGCTCTTCCTTGCAAAAACACTCCAAATCTGTCAGATTGCGAGGGCATCTCCTGTGCACAGCCCTCTTCAGATCAACCCACAGATTTTCAATCGGATTCAGGTCTGGGCCATTCCAAAACTTTAATCATCTTCTGGTGAAGCCATTCCTTTGTTGATTTGGATGTATGCTTTGGATCGTTGTCATGCTGAAAGATGAAATTCCTCTTCATGTTCAGCCTTCTAGCAGAAGCCTGAAGGTTTTGTGCCAATATTGACTGGTATTTGGAACTGTTCATAAGCTCTCTGAGGATCATGGCTTTTGCTGTAGGATGCGACTAAGAAATTTCAGGAAAGACCTACTAGAACAGCTGAACTTTCTTTGGGGTTAATCAAAGGCACTTTAAATGGTGGCAGGTGTGTACTGACTCCTATTTAACATGGTTTTGAATATGATTACTTAATTCTGAACACAGCTACATCCCCAGTTATAAGAGGGTGTGCACACTTATGCAACCACATTATTTTATTTTTTTTATGCTTACTCCCCCCCCTAAAAGATTTCAGTTTGTTTTCCAATTGAGTTGTACAGTTTATAGGTCACATTAAAAAGGTGGAAAAAGTTCTGAAATGATTTATCTTTGTCTCATTTTTTTACATCACAGAAACCTGACAATTTAACAGAGGTGTGTAGACTTTTTATATCCACTATTTTTTTCCCGTAATTTTTTTTTTCTGCATGAGTTTTTTGTAGAATATTAGTGTGTGTATGTGTATAAACTATATTTTATATATTGTTTTATTTAGTCTTTTTTAATTTTGTGGGTGATCCATGTCCAAAAACATATTCAGAGGTATATATACGCTTATGTTGAGTAATTTTGCTTTTGGTTACTTATTATTAATTTTATTTTTTGGTGTGTATTCATGGTGGTTTTGATTTGGTGTTTTTGAAGGGCTTAGGGCATTTCTGGTTAGGTTTGTTTTGGTAGATGTAGATAATGTCTGCGGGTACTCCAAGATGGCGCCCGTGATACTTTGGGGTGTCCCAATATGGTGCTCATAGTACTACTAGTCTTGGTGCTGGATATGATGTCATAGGAACGTGTATGTTGCCATTTTTCTTCTGGGCACATGTGTGGAGCGTCCCGTTGCTATGCCCCCACCTGTTCAGGTGTGTGGGCTGTGTTCATTTGGTGGGGCGTGGGGGACAGGAGGGGAGATGGGCGGACTCAAGCAATTAAGCACAATATATAACTGGGCAGGTAATGTTGGGATTTCCTCTTTGGGTGACTGTCTATGCAGTTTTGGCAGTTACCAGCTATTGGTTTGGTGAGTAGGATATGCTGTGTATGCTATGTCATAGATTTTTTTTTTTTGTCCTGGTTGATTAGGCCTGGCATTTCAGCCTCTGTGCCTTTTTTTTTGGGGAGTGCGTTTTTAGATGGCCATGGGTATATGAGTGTGTAATTGGATCTAAGATCTAGTGTTGCATCTCCGAGCATCGATCCTGAAGCAGCAAATGCAGCAAAAACCTGTTGATCCTATACGCTCATTGTTTGTTCACAAACACATCGCAAACTGTATGATGGTGCTAGGCCCTGATATTCATTGTTTTTATTTAAAATATCTATTTTAACTGGATGGACTAATAAATATTATAATTGTTTTTATAGTATTGTGTTGTATATTTATCCCATTGTGAGTTACATATAAAAGGCCCTTTTTTCTGAGCCCGATAGTTCAACATTTATGCTTCGGTGTGGTTACTTATGCTTGTTCTTTTGTTCCTGCTAATTATGATTACTTTATCTTACCTCCTCTTCCTCCTCAGACCCGCTCTCCTCGCTGTCTGATCTTGGAGCAACTTCGTAACTGTTGAAAATAATTGAAAAGTATTAGATTTCAACCTAAGTCTAAGCAGACTTTTCACACTTTAAAAGATAGGCAGTGCAGCTATGGTGTGTACATTGTGACATCACCTGGAGGCAGGCCATGCAGCCTAGGGACCGAAGCACACTGCCAGCAAACAGAGGTGCTACAATTCATTTTACATCCTATGGCTCTAGTGGCTCCCTTGCTGCCTGAAGTAGGGAGTTTGCTTATGACAGCTGAAGTTCATGGTCGATGTTAAAACTTCTTCACGCTGGCCGCACGCAAATGTACGGCCTCCCGGCGTCTAGGCCTTGACACCGAGCGGCCGCAAATTTGCGTGCAATTAACAAAAACATATGTGCTGAGAGCGCGCGCTCCCAGCACACATGTCCAGTACTCACGGAAAGGTCCCGATCTCCTATTTCGATCGGGACCTTTCCCGATCATGTGACCACCGAAACGGCGATTCACGACGGTCACGACCTTAAAACCCCGCCCCGCCTCCTGAAACCCTTAAAGGGCTGGGACGCGCCGGTGCTAAGGGGTTAAGAAACATCAAGCATAAGAGAAAATTAATTTTAGCAATTCAACCACCAGCGAAATGTCACCAGTACCAGAATCTATTGTCTGACATGGTCCTAAAATATAAGGAAGGAAGGTAGAGAAGAAATAAAATCATAACCAGAACACAAAACAGGTCCATTTATACATAGATCTATAAAAAAAAAATTGCATAGCTGTATGTCCAGCAACACTGCATGTACACTTGTTCTGTGCAAACTAACCATCTGTTTTGAGAATGGAGCAAAATGTAATGTTTTTATCCACTTCAATACAGGTCACTTACACCCCCTTCCTGCCCAGGACAATTTTTAGCTTTCAGCACTGTCGCACTTTGAATGACAATTGCACGGTCGTGCAACACTGTACCCATATGAAATGTTTTGAATTTTTTCCACACAAATAGAGCTTTTTTTTGGTGGTATTTAATCACCACTGGGTTTTGTATTTTTTGCTAAATTAAAAAAAAACCAAAAAAAAAAACCAAAAAAAAAAAAAAAAAAAAAAACACCTGAAACTTTTGAAAAAAAAAAAAAAAAACAACTTTTCTTCGTTTCTGTCAAAGTGTATTCTGCTACATTTCTTTGATGAAAATAATAATTGGATTTGTATTTTTTTTTTTCAAAATGTTTCTATTTATTAAATTTTTCTTTTTTTTTACGATTTTATTTTTCATCACACTGTGACCAAAGCAATACAATATTACTGTAATACCATTGAACTACTCTGGGCAAGTGAGCAGGATTTTTTTTTTTTTTTTTTAACATATTATGACTGCTAATACCAATGTAATTCATTGATATTTGAAATCGTTACTGAATGAAAACTGATTTTGTGGTGATTAGCTGTGACTGGGCAAAGCTGATCACATGACACAGATGGGCTGTGATTGGCCCTGTCTGTATCATGTGACTGCCTTGACCAGTCACAGCTAACAACATAATTGTATACAATGGATGGCAGTCATGGCACGACAGAAAGCCATCCATTGTATACAATTGTCATGTGATCTGCTGGTCACAGCGGTTACATGACACTGGCAACGGGCCGGTGTAGTGATATGGCATCGGCTGTGTTCCGTGGGCACAGCTGGTGACAGATCGCGCCGCTGCGCGGCCACGTGAGCAGCTCGTTTTGACAGGATGTCATATGATGCCCAGTCACAACGGCGAGTGTCCCGCCGGCCGTCAATCTGCTATAGGCCGGACGGGAAGGTGTTAAGCCATTATCTCTTCTGGCTGAGATGTTTTTCAAATATGGGCAATAGAAAAAAAATATAGTTCATTCATAATGTACAAAGAGCAAAGCAGGAGAAATACCCCATTATGGCCACTAGATGGAGCACAGAGTCCTCCAAAATAATACGTCTTCATAGAAAGCGATACAATGTAGCAATTACAAACAATACAGGAATGGAATTGGCAGACAAACAGGGATCCCTTAGTAGCAATGGTTACATTTACAACTCTCAGCCATAACATTATGACCACCCAAAATAACCCGCTGAGGCATGGACTCTACTAGGCCTTTGAAGGTATGCTGTGCTGTCTGGTACCAAGCATTCAGTAGCAGTCCTGTAAGCTGGGGCCTCCATGGATCGGATCTGTTTTTCCAGTATGTCCCACAGATGCTCAATTCAATGGAGAGCAGAAGAATTTGGTAGCCGAGTCAAAACATCAAACTCGTTGTGTCCCTCAAACCATTCTTGAATTCTAAGAGCAGTTTATGTAAATGCACTTTTGTCTACCATGTCCTCTGTTTAAAGCCATTAAGAGAGGTCCACAGATAGCTCCTTGGTGTGCACCTTCTTAAGATTTACATTAGAAAAGTGGAAGTTTTACACTTTTGACCAGCATAGGCTGGAACTTTTCCTTCAGTCACTCAGTCTCCTGCTACTATTCTCTATGGGTGGATTCCACAGCTCATCATACTTGTACCATCTGCCATCCAAAGTTGGTGAACGAAAATATCATCTAGTTCAGGGGTGGGCAAACTTTTTGACTTGAGGGCCGCAATGGGTTCATATATTGGACCCGGGGGCCGGACCAAGAGTAGATGAATGATGTGCATGTGTGAATTAATATAAAATTAAAATTTGTAACATTAAATGTTTAGATTAATTTAAACACTACCATGCCATCCATAGTAAGTATAGTAATATTCCCCCATAGTAAGCATAGTAATTAATCCCCCATATAGTAATTCACCCCCCCTATAGTAATTCATCCCCCATATTAATTCATCCCCCATATTAATTCATCCCCCACAGTACTATTCCCCCCAAGTAGTAAGCCAAGTCCCCCCTGTGTTAATTTGCTTACCTTTGCGCCGCACGTTCCTCTCGCCGAGTTCCCGCGCCGTTCCGGTCTTCAGGGCGGACTGTGAGTGGAGCCTAGCTCCCCTCACGTTCGTCACGCTGCCCCGCCTACACACATCCTGACAGCCAATGTTTGCCTGCCCTGGCTGTTTTTTTTTTCTTATCACGCTCCGCGGGCCGGATTAAAAGGTCCGCCGGGCCGTATACGGCCCGCGGGCCGTAGTTTGCCCATTGCTGATCTAGTTGCTACATGAATCTCTTATCATTTTATCAGATCTTGGAGTTATAAAAAATGACAGATGCTGTCTGGGTAATATGGTCATTGAATTGAAGACCGAAAAAGACTGAAGAAAAAAAAAAACAAAATATGAGACATCAGCCAAGATATCAAACCCTCCAGTGGTAGATGTTCAGGTAAATAGGACAAGACCTCTGAGATCAGAGTTAATTAGAAGGCCAGTTTTTCATCTCCAAAAAAAAAAATCCAACTTCAAGATCTAGATCTGAAGCACATAAAAGGTCCTTTCACATGGGCTTTTCGATCAGGGTCATGTGCAGGGGCGGATTGACAACTCATGGGGCCCCCGGGCCATAGGGGATCATGGGGCCCCTGTGTCCTTGCCCAAACGCAAAAAAAGCCTATGAAAAAAGTACCAGGGGCATCTCATGGGGCCCCCTACTGACCCCGGGCCCTCGGGCAGTGCCCGAGTTTCCAAATGGTCAGTCCGCCCCTGGTCATGTGTCAGTTTTTCAGGTGCAACTGACTGGAAGCTTCATGCAGGTCTATGGGCAGGCGGATGTAAATATTATTATTATTGGTACTTATATAGCGCCGTCATTTTACGCAGCACTTTACATATACAGTCAGGTCCATAAATATTGGGACATGGACACAATTCTAACATTTTTGGCTCTATACATCACCACAATATGAATATTGTACTGGTGCGTTCCTTCTTTTTAAGAATGTTCCAAACAGTTGTTTTGGCCACGCCTAATGTTTTTTCTATCTCTCTGATGGGTTTGTTTTGTTTTTTCAGCCTAATGATGGCTTGCTTCACTGATAGTGACAGCTCTTTGGATCTCATCTTGAGAGTTGACAGCAACAGATTTCAAATGCAAATAGCACACTTGAAATGAACTCTGGACCTTTTATCTGCTCATTGTAATTGAGATAATGAGGGAATAACACACACCTGGCCATGGAACAGCTATGAAGCCAATTGTCCCATTACTTTTGATCCCTTAACAAGTGGGAGGCACATATGCAAACTGTTGTAATTCCTACACCGTTCACCTGATTTGGATGTAAATACCCTCAAATTAAAGCTGACAGTCTGCAGTTAAAGCACATCTTGTTCATTTCATTTCATATCCATTGTGGTGGTGTATAGAGCCAAAAATGTTAGAATTGTGTCGATGTCCCAATATTTATGGACCTGACTGTATATTGTACATTCACATCAGTCCCTGACCCTCAAGGGGCGTACAATAGACTTGCGTTCGTCTACTTCAGGCTACCTCAGAGTCCGTCCAGGTTCCAGACCTAAACATGATGGATCAGAGGTATCCTAATGTAAAGGGACACCAAGTCCACCCATGGAGCCAGTATGGTCTACCACAAAATGCTATGTCACAACACTAACATCCTTCCCATCCTGCTCGGATTCAGTAGGGAACTTGCTCATGGATCCCAGGCTGAGCAGAGCACCAGCATGTGACAGGACCTTAATTGTTTTCAGCTCTTGCTTACCCAGGATTCATCTCTAGCCAGGCATCCAGTTGCCCAGCCTTTGGAGCATCTGTACCAGTCAAGATCTTGCCACTCTCCACATGGATCACCTTGACTGGAAGGTCACTCATCTGGCTCGTCTCATCCAGAGGCTGCAGGGAAAATAAATGACAGTCAGTACAAGTCAACTTGTGCAACACATACAAAACTTCTCTCCGTTTATACCGCTGTTAAAGTATATGTAAACCCAACATTTCCTATTCCTGATATGTGCCTGCTGTACTATATACTTGTATGAAAAAGCGTCCTGTTCTCTTTGTATTGCTTCCTTTGCGTGAAATCCCTGGTGTTTCTGAGAGTACCCTGCTTTCCTGTCAAAAACTGACTACACTAGGCAGGAGCACAGTGGTCAGTTCTCCAACTATGCTGGAAATCCGCCTGCTCTCCTCCAATGATCAGACTTGTGAGCCCCTCCCCCCCCCACACACACATTCACTGGGAAGTCCAGTGTCTGCTGTTTCTCCTCGCTCACCTCTCTATGCAGCTGAGAACAGAGGGATTGTGATCATTTATAAAATGGGAAAAAAGGTATTTATGTTTTCTATATCTATACACAAATGTTTTATCTTTCATTTCTATTTTAAACTGTATAGGTCGTTTTACACATACTTTGAACTCGGGATCCATACACTGAAGTCTTTGAATGATATTTAATAAAGATCGCTTTTATTTTGCAAGATCTTGATGCTCTTTTTTTTTTTTGTTTTGTCCTGAAGTTGTTATAGCCTGGGCACTTTCTAGGCTAAACCAGGTTAACTTTAATACACAAAAAAATGCTGGCTTTACTTAGTGCAAGCTAGAAAGCCCAGACTGCAGTATCCAAGATATTTACAAACTTCAGATGCCCGTTACTTAAAAAAAATAAATAAATAATCAGCTTTCAGAAGGTCTGTAGGTTGATTTTTCAAATTGCCATGCATGGCTAAAATGTACATAACCTACAACTTTCACCTTCACGCACACAGCTCCAAGAGGGCCACACAGTTTGACTCCAGGCATTAACATATGCCTGGAGTCTCAGATGTAGCGTACAGTGTGCTGCCAGCAGCCTGTCAAAGTGAACAGGTTAATATTTTCAGCGGTTGTCCACAGATATATGCACATCTGTGCAAGGTACGTGTGCAGTGCGGCTCTAATGTGCATATATCTGCTGCATGTTTCAGCCCGTCATTGATTTTGAGAGGCTGTTGGCTTTATGTTGCACCTGTAACTCCAGGGCTGAGAAATATGGCCATGTACGAAATATGGCCTTTCTTGCAACCGTATAAATAAATCCTTATTCAAATTCAATCCAAATGACACTTGATGGTCAGAAAGACATTCATCTACATTCATCAGTGAAGCTACAGATTTCTTTGCTTTGCATTCCATGTCTCACCTCGCCATCTGGTCCAAGTGAAGACTGTTGGCCTTCTGTATTTTCTTGAAGCTGAAACAAACAAGGAGTTAAAAAAAAACAAAAAACAAAAGAAACAGGAAAGATGTACTTCCACTTGCAGACATTTCATATATTGGACCAACTCACCTTTTTCTTTTTCCTCCTCCTCTTCTCCTTTAGTACCTGGGCAGCTTTGTGCTGCCTCACCAACTCCGTCAGGTTGGCCACATACTCGTCTGTCTGCTGCAGGAGGTAGGCCAGGCGTTTGTCCTTCTTCTGATCAATCAGCTTCCTGTAGCCCTCTTCATCCTCCGCCTAGGGAGAAGGAGACGACCCATTTATTGTCAGGACATACGCAATGCACAAAGGACAAGACATAACGTTTATTGTATGGATGGAAAAATGGGATTAACTGAAAATGTTTTTTTGTCATTTCACCCAACACCACCAGGTACAGGGGGCTATTAATTTTAAACCACCATTTTATTCTACCCCATGAACACGCAATTCAAAATTTCACATACAGTATCCTAAACAAATTATTTTCCATCAAAAGTAATGGAAACGGCTCGAGCTGCGTCTTAGGTTTATACTTTTTCCCCTGCTTACATTATTATAGATCTGAATTATAGGACATATGATACAATAAATACTTTCAATCTATAACCAAATTAACAATGCAATGAGATGCCTATGCATGTATGGTATGTGAAACTGATCATTTGGGCCATTCACATGTCTCCATGGTTTAAGAATCCAAACTTGAACAAAGCCCAACCTGACATACAATGACACCACCTTATATAAATGCATCTGCACTTACAGTTTACGTTTAGTGACACTGCAAAATGCCAAAAATACCCACTGATCCTGCCAGCGAAGTCGGGCCATGTAAGTCGCATTTCAGATTGCAAAATTTTCAACATGCAGAAAATAAGAAAACACTTGTATGTAGAAAAGGGGACAATGGTAGACCGTACCATACAGTGGATATAAAAAAAGTCTACACACCCCTGTTAAAATATCAGGTTTCTGTGATGTATAAAAAAAAAAAAAAAAAAAAAAAAGGAGACAAAGATAAATCATTTCAGAACTTTTTCCACCTTTAATGTGACCTATAAACTGTACAACAAAGTTGTACAATTTATAGGTTACATTAAAAGGTGGAAAAAGTTCTGAAATTATATATCTCATGTTTTTACATCACAGAAACCTGACATTTTAACAGGGATGTGTAGACTTTTTATATCTACTGTATTTCATTTCCACATTTCCACAACAAATCCAAGTGAACTATACAATCTTATGTCCCTACTACTGCCACACACATACAGATACTAAGGTTTACTTAATCTGGAGCATCAACAATTAGGACCAAGAGGGAAAGGACCATGACAAAAATAGAGGATGTCCAAGAGGAAAACATGTCACATATTGCCCACTATCAGTCGATGTGCTATCCATAAAAGTTGTGATTCTACAAATCTGATAACCAGTCATGGAGGATTTGAAAAATAACAGAGGAGACCACGAGCCACCAAAACATACCATCAGACGACGCATTCTCTCCTTCTCAATCCTCTCATTCTCCTTCTTCTGTTCTCTCTCTGTGTTGGCATGGTACGTGGCCACAGCCTTTGTTAGTTTCTGGATCTTCCCTGTGACAGATCGGTGGAATTCCTTGAAGTCCTTGGCATGTTGGAGAATGCTATTTAGATATTCCTAAAATGGAAAGAGGAGAATCAGGAGAAGAAAATGCTCAAGTCAGTGAGGCTACCTTATTCTAAAAAAAAAAATGTTAGTAAAAAGTTAGGTCTCCTGCCCTAAAGGTCTCTCCAATCTGAAAAATTGATGGAGAGAATTACAAATCCTTTGGAATGTGGAAAAAAAAAAAAATTCCCATCATATATCTTCATATTTATTGTCTGGAGCATTAAAGCCCAACTCCAGGCAGATATATATATATCCCTTGCAGTGTTTCTGGGCCCACACTGCCAGTGGTTAATAGCTCATTGTCTAGGGGAAAGGAGAAACAGTTCTACTTATCTGATCCTCCGCTTCTGGCACTGGACTGTCCCTCGGCGTCACCATGTCCAAAGCGGGGCTATAGACCTTGCTCTGGTCTGATGACGTTCGAACTCTAGACTGCTAAAGCTTGGGGGTGCAGAAGCTGCGGATTAGTGGAGGACCGGGTAAGTAGATCTCCTTTTACTGTTCTCCTAGACAAACGAGCATTCAACCCTTTCAGCACAGACACAGACCCCCTCTTCTTCCTGCATTTGTTACCCTTATCTATTCCCTTTGCCTCGCTTTTAAAAAAAGTAGCCTGACCGCAGCAAGTACACACATAAGGTACCAAGCTAATATTCACACTATGAAATGCAAGTGATATATGGCCTCTTGAAATCATACTTTCTAAAGTATTGAAGAGTAAATTGCCTTTAGACAGAGAACTGCAATGGAAACCATAGCAAGCTTTCAATGCAAAAAAAAATCCCTTCTTTAAACTTGTAAGCAATGATCATTAGCCAGGAGACAAGGCCTTATTATTATAAAGGATTTATAAAGCGCCAAACAGTTTGCTCAGCGCTTTACAATTAACGGGAGACAACACAGCAACAATACAGTTCAATACAACAGGGTTAGGAGGGCCTGATCCTGGGAGCTTACAATCTAAGGCCTTGTGCCTTTGTAAGCTTGCAGTTTTCCACTGCAGTTAGCCGATGTGGGAATTGCTGATCTTAGGTTTGTTTCCATGGGGGAAGAATTAAAAACGTCTTCCCAAGCAAATATCTGTTGTTGTCTCATTTCTTCTGTTATCTACCCTTTACAAGGAAAGTCTGAGCCATTCTTATGACAACAGATCATGCAGACAAGTTATACGCCAATACAAGGCTGGTTTCACACTGGAGTCTAGCAAACACACATATGCATTTTTACCATGATCTTACCGTGTTTTTTAAATTACATGAAATACATGGTCACGTTTTTTTTCCGTTTTTTTTTTTTTTTTTTAAAGCAAAAGCAGAATAAAAACAGATCAATGTGAAACCAGCCTAACTTGTATGTACACACTTTATCAAATTATTACTTTTAGAAAATGCTATTTGTAAAAAGTAGGAGTCAGCCTTTATTTTACATTAAGGACTAGTTTGTGTCTACATGATCAGAGTATGCTGTAGCTGTCTAGCTCAAGAGGACTACACAAGGGGAAGTGGGTTTGAGGTTTTTCCCTCCGCCTCCTTGGATTACTTTCAGTGGAGAAAAGTTTCTAATCGGAGTCCTACTACACTTTGTGGTCTGTAGCATTTGGCCAATAGATCTCTAATTGAATGAATGACGACTCTGTTTGTTACAAGTCTTCAAGTGGACTTAGATTCTTTCTTGATCGATGATCATTACTTATGACCCCCCTCTGTCCATCCAGATACGATTGGCCCATATCTTGCAGGAGCTATCTGATATTGTGCTGGTAGCATCAACCGGAATTCATGCTTTGTTTTGTTCCCTGAAGTGGGCTCTGCCCCACGAAACGCGTTGGAATACCAAAACAAAGTACCTTTTCATGGTTTCAAGTGGAAACATGTTTATTTGTTCATTATCACCTATGACACTATCTGGTCAGATGTCCTATATCCAGGGGCGGATTGGCAAATCATGGGGCCCCCGGGCAATAGGGGATCATGTAGCCCGTGTCCTTGCTCAAACTCAAAAAAGTCTATGAAAAAGGTACCAGAGGCATCTCATGGGGCCCCCTACTGACCCCGGGCCCTCGGGCAGTGCCCGAGTTTCCAAATGGTCAGTCCGCCCCTGCCTATATCAAAATTAATACAATTATCCATTTCATTTATAGCCATGTACCATCTTATCCACCATTTGTACAGTTTAGCCTATTTGCTCTAAGACTATGGCTATTTTTTTTGCAGCTGATACCCGTGACGCCGTCTGTGTCTAGGACATCAGCAACAATTTACTGTGGCCAGGTCTCATTTTCTGTATTCTATTTTTATGGTTCTCTATGTCTGATGAATATGCTCCACCTATGGGTGGCTTTTTTTTAACCTAATAAAGGTGTTCAATTTTATTTACTGTTCCTATATTTGTTCAATTCACTTTTATTGATATGGTTTGGTACCTTTAAAGCCCATTAGTTTTTCTGGTTAGGGTCTTTTTCAACATATTTTCCTTAGGGGTGTGGTACCAGTAAAACCGTGCTTACAAGGTCAGGGAGAGTCACTTTCTCCCCATCTCCCACTCCTTCAATATTTAGCTGTCTAGCTCACTATGCTCCTTTTAGGATTTTAGAAGCAAAATGAATGTTAAAAACACTGCTTTACCAGATCATCACCAGCTTGGGAGTTGATATGACATCATTGTCAACAAGCCTGTTTTTACCATCCTTGTCACAGCAAAGAAATGTAAACCATCATGCACAAACCCAATGTATATTGGTACTTGACCAGCAGGTAATTCGGAGCCCAGGATTTACACTCTGACGACCAGTGAATCACAGTACACGTATCTCCTAGTAGTTCATCACTTCCTCACCTGATGTTTCTGCCGTCTCTTGCGCTCCTGCTCAATCTTCTGCTGTTTCTCCAGTTTCTCTGTGATCCGAGCCTCACGCAGCGATTGCCGTTTACTGCGCTTGTAAGCCTTGGCGTTCAGTGCAGTCTCTAGAGCAGTGTCCCTTCTCATACAGACCACGACTTCTTGTCGCAGCTGGAAAAATCATATGTATGGATGATTATCGTAAAATCTTAGGATAACCGTTTATCTCAGAGATTCCATACCACATGTATACAACAGCACACAGACCCACCTGTCTCTGAAAGTTTAAGAGACGCAAGGCTTTCAGCTCTATTGTAGCTTTGGTCCTAAGGTCACCAGCTAATGACCCTGGAAGGTTCTCCAGCTCCTGGATCCTGTGTGCAATACGTGCCTGGAGTCTGTACAGAGAACAAAAAGAGTAAAAATTAAATGGTTTTACACGGTAAATATTTGTTTTACAGTAAAACTGGCTACAGACATTCACACACTGACAGACAGTCTTAAAGCAGTAGTTAAAGAAAAAATAAAAAATGGCCCCTTGCAGGTTAAAGCCATAGTGTGCTAGTATGCACAACGGAGTCCTCCAGCACTGCGCTGTCACTGCTGCTAGTGCTCCCATCCTGGCCCAGTCTTCCTTTTGGATTATCACTCTCCATCCATTTGAATGGCCAAGCTGCAACAATGTCACACCCATGCATGCGCATTAAAGTCCTCATTGCAGCTCAGCTTTCTGCATTGATCATACACTCCATGTACCCTGAATGCAGGGCGTCACTGTGCATCCACAGTGACATTATTGGCTGGATCCAATCTGAATATCTCACATGTTCAGGAGATAGTCATTTTACCTACAGACAAGCTTACCTGTAGGTACCAATTATAAATCTGAGTTTTATACTGCTTTAAAATGGAAATTAGCTGTAGGAGTAAGCCCTTACTGACCCATGTAACTGTAGTGACCATGGAGTAATTCATCCCCAATTTTTAGAGCAAAGAGCACGTTCAGCAACTCAGCTTCTCTGTTCCCATCTTAGGTCACCATGTTCTCCTTTCTAATGTGAACACAAAGGATGAGAAGTGAATAGGGGAGTGCAGAGACTCATCTTGAAAGACTTGTTTCTATTGAACCGGAGGATGAATTGCTCCACATGGGGAAGAAAACTACAATCTCCAATTGGGAGAGGGGATCACATCCATGCACACCTACAAAAAAGACAGCATTACCTAAGCAAACCCCATAAATGGAGGGTGCAGATACTCAAGTGTACTCCTCAAAAGACAGTAAGGTTGAAATTGCATGGATCTGAAAAATGAGAGACAGGCCAAGACTAAAAGGTGCCTGAAAGCTAAAAAAAGAATGTCTACAAAGAAAGGTCCCAAGAGCCCCTTCTACATGAATGTCAGGAAATTCAGATTGGTTGGAGCATTCCATGCCTGGTAGGAAAAGGCTCAGGAACAACCCAGGGCAGAGCCCTCCTGGTGGTAATCAGTCCCATTAATAGCTTAGAAAAGAGTAAGGCTCTGTTCACACCATGCAGGTGTGACGGAGATTATATGTGTTTCCACGAGAAACATGCAAAAGAAGTCCCTGACACTTTTGCAAAATTGCGCTGCACTAAATCGAATGGTGCTCTGGCAACGTGTTCTGGTGCTCGCAAAGGCACATATGTTAGCAGATGCGTAGGAGTGCCATTAGGAATTAATGAAACCACGGCGCGTGTCCCGTTATACAAGGAGAAATAAAAACTGCTCAACAATTTAAAGGAACACTTTTTAATAAGAGTATAGAATCAAGTCAATGAAACTCCTGGGATATTGATCCGGTCAGTTAAGTAGCAGAGGGGGTTGTTAATCAGTTTCAGCTGCTTTGGTGTTCATGAAATTAACAGGTGCACTAGATGGGCAACAATGAGACAACCCCCAAAACAGGAATGGCTTTACAGGTGGAGGCCGCTGACAATTTTTTCCCTACTCATCTTTTCTGACTGTTTTTCACTAGTTTTGCATTTGGCTAGGGTCGGTGTCACTACTGGTAGCATGAGGCGATACCTGGACCCTATAGAGATTGCACAGGCAGTCCAACTCCTCCAAGATGGCACATCAATACGTGCCATTGCCAGAAGGTTTGCTGTGTCTCCCAGCACAGTCTCAAGAGCATGGAGGAGATTCCAGGAAACAGGCAGTTACTCTAGGAGAGCTGGACAGGGCCGAAGAAGGTCCTTAACCCATCAGCAGGACCGGTATCTGCTCCTTTGTGCAAGGAGGAACAGGATGAGCACTGCCAGAGCCCTACAAAATGACCTCCAGCAGGCCACTGAATGTCTCTGACCAATCAGAAACAGACTTCATGGAGGGTGGTCTGAGGGCCCGATGTCCTCTAGTGGGCCCTCTGCTCACTGCGCGGCACCACAGGTCCGCCACTGATGCCCTGTGCTTTTCACAGATGAGAGCAGGTTCACCCTGAGCACATGTGACAGACATGAAAGGGTCTGGAGAAGCCGTGGAGAACGTCATGCTGCCTGTAACACCATTCAGCATGACTGTTTTGGTGGTGGGCCAGTGATGGTCTGGGGAGGCATATCCATGGAGGGACGCACAAACCTGTAGAAGGCTAGACAATGGCACCCCGACTGCTATTAAGTACCGGGATGAAATCCTTGGACCAATTGTCAGACCCTACACTGGTGCAGTGGGTCCTGGGTTCCTCCTGGTGCACGACAATGCCTGGCCTCATGTGGGGAGAGTATGCAGGCAGTTCCTGGAGGATGAAGGAATTGATAGCATTGAATGGCCCCCACACTCGCCTGACCTAAATCCCCCAGGACACCATCCATCGTCTCATTAGGAGCATTCCCACTACGTTGTCAGACATGCATACAAGCACGTGGGGGCCATACAAACTACTGAGGACCATTCTGAGTTGCTGCGATTAAAATTCAGCAAAATGGACTAGCCTGCTGCATTATTTTTTCACTCTGATTTTCGGGGTGTCTTTGAATTCAGTCTTCTGTAGGTCGATCATTTTCATCAAACGATGGTGCATCCTTACGTTCCTAACACATTATCCAGTCCTTATCAGTATAGATATCCAGCATGAGATTTTTCCCCATTAACATCTTGTGTGTTTTCAAAGTGTTCATTTCATTTTTTTGAGCCGTGTTTATTGTGGGATGATTAAGGACAAAACTAATACATAAAGCTACACGTTTTTTTCAAATTTGCCCAAAGTCTGCTTTAAAGCTAATTTCTGCACGATTTTTAAGGTTTCAGACATCTTATTTTGTGTTACATACAAATTGGAACTTACCGATATTCCCTCTCCTGCAGCACCTCCACTGGATCCAGGCCCCGGGGTTTCTGGATTGGAGTGATGCGGTTGGCTTTGGAGTGAAATTGGACCATTGGAGGAGGCTGGGCTGGCTGACCTGGTGACTGTGTCTGGGGTGGCATGACGGGTGAAGCGGCAGGAGGCACGGCAGGGGGTGCAGGTGAAGGCCGGCCAGTTGGCTGTGGAGGAATCAACTTCTGAGGTGCAGTGGCTGGGGCCGCAGCATTGGCCATGGGACCTGCAACAACACACAAAGCCCAGATATAACTTCATGCCAGAATGCCATTTATCTAGGCGTTTATCCAGCAGGACTAAAACACAGTACCCAGATTATTTGGACATAAAAAATGAATGCCGAGATATAAAATTTGTATTTACTGCAAAGCCAAAGTAACTGCCAGCCTCTTTTTCCTAACCCTCTTTAAGCTCTGTGCAGAAGTAGAAATAAGGCCGATACCTTTTCTGTGCTGGTTGGAGGGAAAACAATTCTTACAATATGGATAAATGGTTCGATTACAAGTGATGATCTAGATTTTGTGCAATGCAAGAAGACATTTCTGAGCTCCCAGGGGCCATAATGACCTTCTCTGGTTGTCAACGCTGTCTGTTGTTTTATACCAGTGGTCTCCAAACTGCAGCCCATGGGCCGGATAGCGCCCTTTGCTTGCCTAGATCTGGACCTTAAGGCACCATTCCATCTACTGACACCAATGAAGGGGCACCATTCCTCCCACAGACACCAATGATGGGGCACTATCCCCCCCCCCCCCCCTAAATACCAACATAGAGCACCTTTTTGCCCTTCCTCCCACTAAAACCAATGAGGAGGCATGGTTTATTTCCACTGATGCCAAGGCATTTTCTAATCCTACTGGCCAGTATAGCCCCATAAAACTTGGACAGCTAACTGGCCCTCTGTTGAGAAACCTTGGAGACCACTGTCTTATACAGAGGCTTTTCTGTGAAACGAGGCTCAACCCTTCACCAGGAAAAAACATGTCAGGGTGGCAAACTCGAGAATTAATTTCCACCCTGGCCCATCAATCTAGTTTTTTTTCCTTCAACAGATCCAATCAAAAGAAAGGCAATAGGTTAACATGTAAAACCCACAGAGTAAAATAATGACTCACTGTCCATTACTTGTGGTCCCTCATCACCCTGCATATGACTACGTGATCTCATACAAATATGAACCAAAACTCCCCAGAGTATGCCCAGTCAGGCCAATACATCCAGATTAGTTTAAAGCAGACCACAGAGCTAAAATCAGACAACGTGGAAATCCCAGTCTGCACACTGAAAATCAGGGACGCCAGCACCAAATCGATCCTGCGGCACAGCGTAGAATTTACAATGCAAACCATCGCATGCTGTGAGACTACAATACTGTATCACTCTATGCATACTAGTCACAAATACATCTAGTAGTGGTACTAGTAGTCTTTTCCATCAGTTTAAACATTTAAAGTCAAAATCCCTAAGCCAAAAAGAAGTCACAAGGTGCCCCGATTACTTCTATTCACCAGAAAACCCTCCCACGTGCATCTCTCTGGTTTAGTTTCACTAGTGGCTTAGTCTCCCTGACTTCTAGGAAAAGCTTCAACCTTTCTCTGCCAAATTAGGCACCAATTAAAAATGTGAAACGAAATCCAATGTGTAGAAGTTTTTTTTTTTTCCTGGAGAAGCAGTCCACTGCAACTACAGCAGGATTCTCCTCCCATGCCAGGCGAGGCTGTGGTGTGTGACAGAGCTGTGTGAACAGAGGGCTGAATGGACAAATACAAAATCCTGTGGTAATTACAACAGTTGCCGTATACAGTGAAGGAAATAAAGTATTTGATCCCCTGCTGATTTTGAATGTTTGCCCACTCACAAAGAAATGATCAGTCTAAAAATGGAATGGTAGGTGTATTGTAACACTGAGAGACAGAATAGCAACAAGAAATTCAAAAGAAATGCATGTCTAACAAATGATGCACTGATTTGCATGTTCATGAGGGAAATAAGTATTTGATCCCCTTCACAAAACATGACTTAGTACTTGGTGGCAAATCCTTTGTTGGCAATCACAGAGGTCAGACGTTTCCTGTAGTTGGCCACCAGGTTTGCACACCTCAGAAGGGATTTTGGCCCACTCCTCTTGGCAAATCCTCTCCAAGTCATTAAGGTTTGGTGGCTGATGTCTGGCAACTCAAACTCAAGATATCCACAGATATTCAATCAGATTAAGGTCTGGAGAATAGCTAAGCCACTCCAGGACCTTAATGTGCTTCTTCATGAGCCACTCCTTTGTTGCCTTGGCCGTGTGTTTTGGATCATTGTCATGCTGGAATACCCATCCACGACCCATTTTCAATGCCCTGGCTGAGGGAAGAAGGTTCTGACCCAAGATTTGATGGTACATTGCCCCGTCCATCGTCCCTTTGATGCGGTGCAGTTGTCCTGTCCCCTTAGCAGAAAAACACTCCCAAAGCAGAATGTTTCCACCACCATGTCTGACAGTTGGGTTGGTGTTCTTGGGGTCATAGGCAGCATTCCTCCTCCTCTAAACACGGGGAGTTGAGTTGATGCCAAAGAGCTCGATTTTGGTCTCATCTGACCACAACACTTTCAACCAGTCCTCCTCTGCATCATTCAGATGTTCAGTGGCAAACTTCAGATGGGCCTGGACATGTGCTTTCTTGAGCAGAGGGACCTTGCGGGCACTGCAGGATTTCAATCCTTGTCGGTGTAGTGTGTTACCAATTGTTTTCTTGGAGACTGTGGTCCCAGCTGCCTGGAGATCATTGACAAGATCCTCACGTGTAGTTCTGGGATGATTCCTCACTGTCCTCATGATCATTGACACTCCACGAGGTGAGATCTTGCATGGTGCACCAGACCCAGTGAGACTAACCGTTGTTTTATGTTTCTTCCATTTGCGAATGATTGCACCAACTGTTGTCACCTTCTCACCAAGCTGCTTGGCGATAGTTTGGTAGCCCAGTCCAGCCTTGTGTAAGTCTACAATCTTGTCCCTGACATCCTTGGACAGCTCTTTGGTCTTTGCCATGGTGGTGGAAACTTTGGAATCTGATGGTTTGATTGCTCCTGTGGACAGGTGTCTTTTATACACGTAACACAATGAGATTAACAGCACTCCCTTTAAGAGACTGCTTATAATCTCAGCTTGTTACCTGTATGAAAGACACCTGGTAGCCAGAAATCCTGCTGAATGATAGGGGATCAAATACTTATTTCCCTCATGAACAAGCAAATCAGTGCATCATTTGTTAGACATGCATTTCTTTTGAATTTTTTGTTGCTATTCTGTCTCAGTGTTACAATACACCGAACATTCGATTTTTAGACTGATCATTTCTTTGTGAGTGGGCAAACATTCCAAATTAGCAGAGGATCAAATAATTATTTCCTTCACTGTATGCATTTTAACTATCTACTTAGCAGAACGGTTAATCTGCAAGCTTTAAAAACATTCCTTCAAACTCAACTTTATAGCTCTGTTTTTGTCTGACTCTTTGCGACAGATGCAAATCTGAGGGACCTTTTTGTCTAGTCTTGCATTGTTAAAAATAAACAACAAAGCCATAAATGTATTTTGAAAGAAAATCATAGCAACATATTGCCTCGGGTTTGACTTCCATCAAGTGCCTTTCAGGTTACCTTCAGGCCAGGGTTTAGGAGGAGCACCTGGGGGGTGTCCTGGCATCCCAGGGGGAGCTCCGGAGGGTCCTGGGGGTGGCATGGCAGGTCCTGCCATTCCTATCAAAGAAAACAAAAGACTTTAGTGAAAAATACTTTTTTTTTTTTCACAGACTAGATTGAGAGCATCGAAGGCTGATGAACCATTCACATAATTCAACAGTTATTGGATTTAAACCATATAAATGCAAAAAAAAAAAAAAAAAGTATTACAATGCAGAGATCAGGAGAGATCACTTGGAAAAGACGTTAAGAGAACTCCTCCAGCTTCTACCCAATGCGGATACTTTTGTCTAATAAATGTTGATCCCTCTTTTTACAGGTATACCTTTTCCTGCCAGCTCCGCACACAATGAGGGTGTTCTGTGAACAATGTTGTGTAAGAATTCAAAAATAACAGGAAAGCAAAAGAGACCGTGGTTCAAACGAACTAATCAGATGCTTCCTTCTGCTAACCCAGGCTAGAAATGGATCTGACAGCAAGCATGTATTGGACAACCACCAAATTTACGTAGATAATATTAAAGAGAGAGACAGCTGTGCAAGAATTGTGTTTTTACCGTGAGGTCTGTTGTAGCTGGGTGGCGCAGGTCCCGAGGCAGGTACTGGGCCAGTCCCAGAGGCCGCAGGTGGAGGTAGTGTTGGCATCTGTTGTTGCATGCCCGGCATGGGCCTCTTGCCTTGCACAGCCATTTGCAAGTGGTCAGGTAATGGCTGACCCCTGGCCAGCATCTTGTATGCCATTATCTGTGCTCGTAACTGATGCAACTGATTCTGGTTAAAAGGGGTCGGACTGCGGCTTGCCTGCTGCTGCTGTTGTTGTTGTTGTTGTTGTTGTTGCTGCTGCTGCTGAGGGTCTGGGTTCTCCATGTTCACCACTCCTGAGCTAGAAGGGATTGGAGGTCCAGGTGGTGGGCCATTTGAGGGCACTGGACTAGAGACATGCTCCGAGCTGCCCAACGGAGAAGGGTAGCCTAAAAGACATAAATGAGTATTTACCACGAGAAAAAAATAAAAATAAAACAATGCATATATACCATTATCAATAACTAAAAGCCTACTAAAAATGATTCTGTCATGCGGTCATCAGACTCTGGAATATGCATAGGGAATCTTCTGCTTTGCAAGTTCTCTTGGCTGACTAATCCGGAGTGTGTCCTCTTGTCCCAGCTGGTCAGTCTATTCTGTGGGCATCTCTTCCCAGGAAATGCTTCCCCCCATTTTTTTTGTCTTCCTTTCCCACTCTTTCCTCTGCTTTCTTTGTTTCCTCGTCCCTACTTCTCCACTTTTTTCTTTTAAACTGGGGCCAGGTGGGACGTTAAGATGGCCTTCATCGTTATGCCACATTCGTCTTCCCTCAGGCCTAGTCTTTATTCACCCACCTTGTTTGGCTCTTAACAGCTTGGCTAATATTCCCTTCTCCTCTCTGCTTGTACTCTTCCTGGGCCTATTTATCTATGTATTGTATATGCAATTTTATGTGTGGTGGGCTTTGTACTCTGTACTGCACATGGTCATCACACAGTCCCGGGCCTTTTTTTCTTTTTTTTTTTAAATGTGTCTGACTTGTTCATTATTGTAAATCCCCCCCCCCCCCCCTTATTTCCTCTTTTTATTACTTTTTTTTGCCCCCCTCCCCAAGCTTGTACTTTTTTTTTTTTACTGTATTTCAATTTTGTTTCTTTTTTTCTTTGTATTTCATATAAAACCCTTTATAAAACTCACACTGAACACACACAAAAAAGATGTTGTCTGTAGAAAGCCACACCATTGTCAGTAAGCTGATGTAAGAGCATTTCCATCAATGCTTGCATCTTATTGGTCAATATATACCCTAACGTCACCTATTGGATTTAAAGAATAGCATCACTGCTATTAGACGTGCAAAGTCTTTGTGCCTTCAGTCCAGCGATGCGACATCCCGCAGCACTCTGCATCTTTGAGCGGCCGGCCTCCAGATCTCGATCGTCAGCTGCCGTCATTGGCCAGGCCAAGATGTTGTTGCTCCTGCGCAGAGTTCCATCAGCTTTGGCATTGCCAAATTTCTACATGAGCTGCTCATGCGCAGCACACTGTACTGGGGCAGACCAGCGGGTAAGTAACTTTAATGCAGAAGAGACAAAGCATGCCTGTTCACCTATTTTTATGTTTTAGCAGAACGTTCAATTTTAAACCGGCCATAGACTGTGCGCTTCTTTTTGTTCACTCAACGAGGAAAAAAAAACAAACCCCACACAATTCCCCTATCCACACAAGCGAGGTGGATGGAAGAATCCTTGGTCAGAATACAAGGGATCAGCAGCTGCAGCTTCTAATCAAAAGTCTTCCAGCTTGTCCATTTACCAGCAGTCAACTGAACGACTGACTTCAAATGAATAGGGACAGCTACACGCAGATTGAAATTCAGCAAGTCCCTGCTTGAACGGTCCGAATTTCAATCCAACTATGGCCATCTTTACTATATATGATATCTGGGTTCACCGTGGGGGCTGCTGGGCCTCCAAATGAAGAGGAGCCAGATAAGATGGTTGTGGTATCTCCAATCAGGTACATCTGGCACCAGGGACGGACTGACCATTTGGAAACTCGGGCACTGCCTGATGGCCCGGGGTCAGTAGGGGGCCCCATGAGATGCCCCTGGTACCTTTTTCATAGGCTTTTTTGAGTTTGGGCAAGGACACAGGGGCCCCATGATCCCCTATTGCCCAGGGGCCCCATGAGTTGTCCGTCCGCCCCTTCTGGCACTACATACAGGCTTGCTTGCCAATAGTGCAGAGGTAAGTACTTCGCTTAAAGCGGAACTAAAGTGTAAAACAAAATATAAGCAGGCAGGCCATCTATCACAGAAGAAGACATGCTATGCCTCTTCTGCAATACTTACCTGCTTCTTTACAATGTACACTGGTCTGCAAATGTGCAGCTCAGCGTACATTCTAGGCATGGTGCTGGGATGAATAAAGTCCTCCCAGCAAAGATAAAAATAGTTGTGTAAGTACAGTCTATGCAAATACAGATCTTCTAAACCTTTTTCTCAGAGAGAAAAGTAAAAAAAAAAAAAAAAAATGTTACTCCCCCGAGTGTAAGTAAAGTATGTCAGGACATGTAATGTGTCCTATTTCCATGACGCTCTACCCTCTAAGTTCTACCTCTTCTCTCCTGCTAGGTTGTAACTAGAGCGCAAGCCCTGGTTCACAGGGATGCAAAATTGACAGCGTTTTCTGTGCGAATTCCGCACCGCTTCAGAATCGCACCCTGTTCATGCGAACCGCTGCGGGTGTGTATGTTAACACCCTGAAAGCGGTCTGCAAAACACGGTGCGATGAGCAGAACAGGGGTGGACTGACCACTTGGAAACTCTGGCACTGCCTGAGGGCCCGGGGTCAGTAGGGAGCCCCATGAGATGCCCCTGGTACCTTTTTCATAGGCTTTTTTGAGTTTGGGCAAGGACACAGGGGCCCCATGATCCCCTATTGCCCGGGGGCCCCATGAGTTGTCAGTCCGCCCCTGGTGCAGAATCGGACCGCATAGGTGTGAATAACCATGTGATCCGATTCTAGTGCGGACAAAAAAAGGGTCCTGTACGTTTTTGGTGCGGTGCGATTGGAGCCATACATTTTGTATTTCTCTAATCGCACCACACACAAAATCGCATGTGATTTGCACAGGAATGTGGTGTGGTTCCTGTGCGAATCACATGCGATATACCGCACCGCATATATGTGAACCCAGGCTTAAGCTGCTCTTTTACTTCACACAGATTATGAGCAATTCTTCCTACCCCCTGTGAAGCTAGGAATACCTTGAGAGTGCTGATCCATTGGACTTGGTGGGGGTCCCATACCAGAATGTCCACCAGGCCTCATCGCCATCCCTTTCATCTGGTTATAACGTGGGTCTTCCGGCATGGTCTTCTCGTGTATGGAATCCATCGGCTAACAAGAGAAAACAGATGAGCCTAAGACAGTGAGGGACTACAGGGCTCCCCCTATACAGCACAGTAAGGGGTCAGGTGGATCAAATTTAGTAGGAAGGCAGGTGGAATAAGATGCAGGAGCACTGACGAGGGAAAGGAGAAACTAGTAATAAAAGAAATAGCGGGGAATTTAGAGATAATAGGGTGGGGGTGGGGGGGGGGGGATAAAACAGGAGGTATTGTTGATGACAAAAATGAACAATACTGTGGGGTATGTCAAAATTCCACTTAGAAACAGCCTCTCTCGATCTTTTTAACACAGAGGAACCCTTGAAATAAATTTCCCGTCTCAGGAAACCCCAGCTAAAAATTATTATATGTACAACTCATGAGACAGTGTGAAGATCAGTGAAAATAATGCTCCTTACACTTGTCATTAGAAAGAATGACCCCCTTACAGATGGCTAAAACCATCAATGGTGTCAGTGGGAACGTACATGAGAGGCAGAAATTGATCATTGATCAAGGAACCCCTAGCAACCTCTAAAAAAAGGTACCTTAGGGCTCCATGGAACCCTGGCTGAGAAACCCTGACCTGGAAGAATCAGATTTGTTGAATAGAGGCAAGGTCCCGCATATGCATGGTGTCATTAATTCTGGACAACCACTGAAGTCTAAGTCCATTAATAGGGTGACAATGCAATGTCCATACTATGCAAATCACTGCTCTGCCACCACAGGCATTGTGTAGCTCCCATCAACATCATAGGTGGGGGGGATAGGGGTGGCTGGGCTGTAATTGTGGTTAGTGTTCATTACCAAGTCCTAGCTGGTCAACTGATGTGTAGGACACTCCTAGGCCACATCCACTCTGGTCTTGTTGGGCATGCTCTCACACACACACACCTTTTAGCAGGCATGACAGGCAAAATCATGGAAAATGTAAACACAGCAGCTACCACAGCTCTTGGATATGATGTGCTAGCTGTGGAACCCCACCCTTCCCCTTCCTTCCCAACATCAGTTCGGGGAACCTGCAGCAGAGGTAAGGAGCACTTTCATGCTGAAAATGTGATTTATGCGGAGTTTAAAGGGACTTCATTAAACAAACATGCTGCCTTTAGTTGCACTATAAGCTCACTAAACTAAGCCCTGGTTCACACTGATGCGGTGCAGAATTTGCAGCGCTTTCAGTGCGAATTCTGTACAGCATCAGAATCGCACCCAGTTCATGTGAACCGCTGCGGGTGTGTATGTTACCAACACCCCGAAAGTGGTCCGCAAACGCGGTGCGATGTGCAGAATCGGATCGCATGGGTGTGAATACCTATGAGATCAGATTCTAGTGCGGACCCAAAAAAAGGGCCCTGCAAGTTTTTGGTGTGGGTACGGTGCAATTAGAGCCATACAAAATGTATGGCTCTAATCACACCACACACAAATCACATGTAATTTGTACAGGAATGAGGTGCGGTTCCTGTGCGAATCACATGCGATTGACCGCACCGCATATATGTGAACCAAGGCTTAAGCTCATGTTATTTGTCATAATGATTGCCATGTTCACTGGGATTATCATGATATCACTGGTGCTATGTAGTGAAGAGAGTAAATTGTCATCAGCATGTTAATGAAAGAAGGAGAAAGGTAGAGAGAAAAAAAAAAAAAAAAAAAAAAGAAAAAAAAAAAAGGGGGAAAGGAAAGAAGAAAAAAGGGGGAAAGGAAAGAAGAAAAAAGGGGGAAAGGAAAGAAGAAAAAAGGGGGAAAGGAAAGAAGAAAAAAGGGGGAAAGGAAAGAAGAAAAAAGGGGGAAAGGAAAGAAGAAAAAAGGGGGAAAGGAAAGAAGAAAAAAGGGGGAAAGGAAAGAAGAAAAAAGGGGGAAAGGAAAGAAGAAAAAAGGGGGAAAGGAAAGAAGAAAAAAGGGGGAAAGGAAAGAAGAAAAAAAAGGGGGAAAGGAAAGAAGAAAAAAAGGGGAAAGGAAAGAAGAAAAAAGGGGGAAAGGAAAGAAGAAAAAAGGGGGAAAGGAAAGAAGAAAAAAGGGGGAAAGGAAAGAAGAAAAAAGGGGGAAAGGAAAGAAGAAAAAAGGGGGAAAGGAAAGAAGAAAAAAGGGGGAAAGGAAAGAAGAAAAAAGGGGGAAAGGAAAGAAGAAAAAAGGGGGAAAGGAAAGAAGAAAAAAGGGGAAAGGAAAGAAGAAAAAAGGGGGGAGAGGAAAGAAGAAAAAAGGGGGAGAGGAAAGAAGAAAAAAGGGGGAGAGGAAAGAAGAAAAAAGGGGGAGAGGAAAGAAGAAAAAAGGGGGAAAGGAAAGAAGAAAAAAGGGGGAGAGGAAGAAGAAAAAAGGGGGAAAGGAAAGAAGAAAAAAGGGAGAAAGCAAAGAAGAAAAAAGGGAGAAAGCAAAGAAGAAAAAAGGGAGAAAGGAAAGAAGAAAAAGGGCGAAAAGGAAAGAAAAAAGGGAGAAAAGGAAAGAAAAAAAAGGGAGAAAAGGAAAGAAAGGAATATATATACAGATATACACACACATACGCCCAGAGGCAGATTACTCCTGTAAAACACATGAACTGTATGTAAAGTATATTTTTCAGAGTACTCCGCAGGCTCAATTAACATCTCTAAAACATTAGCTGTTACATAGTAAATCTTCATTTCTCGAGTTCAGTTGCACTTTAAATAAACAATACAAAAATGCAACTTGCATAGGCAAAGGTTTGTTTTTTTTTTTTTAATCCAGAATATGGATGGCAGGGAGAAGGCTCTACAAATGCCCCCTGAGAGTTTCTCACCTTGTGCATCTGATGCATGTTCTCTGCAGGATATCCGCTAGGTCCCTGGGGAGGGATAGGAGGCCCGGGACTTGGCCCCATCATACTGTGTGCTGATCCAGGAGATGGCCCAGGGCTAGGGCCCAGCATTGCACCAGGAGAAGGCCCAGGCCCAGGGGACTGCACAGGCCTAGGGGTGCCCCCCACAGGCGGATCGGGGGTGGACATTGCTTTTGGAAGAGATTCAGTCAGTCCCAATCTGTGAAAGAATAAATTACTCATTAGCAAAAACAAAAAACACTACATTGCATCTATTCTGATACAACATCTAAACAAAATAGATCCTTCTGAACCAATTTGCCCCTTTGTCACAACTTGGTATTTACAGGAGTTGGATTTCATAAAATAAGAATCACCCACACAGCGACTGCATTGTTTTCAGAGTCGGCTGAATTCAAGATTTGCAGCATGAGAGGAACAGTAAAGCACAACCACTGCAAAGCAAGAAGCAGAGCCTGCCTATGTACTGAGCAAATATAATATGCACACAGGAGCTTGCCATAATTATTAAAGTGGTTGTAAACCTCAGACATGAAATATGAACAAAGTAAATTCCTCTTGTCTCAATCCAGAGCACTAAGTGTCATTTCTGTCCACTGCCTTATTCCTCTGCCATCAGGACGAGTCACTTCTGACAAATTTTTCCAACACCAAGAGAAAAATGTTAATGGGAGGGCACAGCCTGTGATTGACAACCTCAGCTCTCTTCCGGTGTGTCCCTTCCCTCTAATCAGAACTCTACTTACTGAGCTATGCAAGTGTAACTACAAGTGGTTGTAAAGGCTCAAGGTTTTACCTTAATGCATATGTGCAGCAGCCCCCCCTCAGCTCCTAATACTTACCTGAGCCCCCATTGCGATCCAGCCATGTGCACAAGAGCCTCGACTCTCTAGGGACTCTCCCTCCTCATTGGCTGAGAGAGCAGAAGCAGCCATTGGCTCCCGCTGCTATCAATCAGGAAAGTGAGTGCAGGGCTGAGCCACGGCTCTGTGTGTGAATGGACACACAGCGCAGCGGCTCGGGAGTGAGCCTGCTTGGGTGCCCCCATAGCCGGTTGCTTGTTCTGGGGGCACTAGGCAGAAGCTCTAGTGGGGGATCCAAGATTAGAAAGATTGGGGCTGCTCTGTGCAAAACCATTGCACAGAGCAGGTAAGTATGACCTGTTGGTTGGGGTGAGTTTTTTTTTTTTTTTTGTCTCGTCCACTTGCATACAGGAGGATATGTATACATTACAAGGGGATCATTGTGATAGATAGATAGATAGATTTATTATTGTAATGCCAAAAGGAGACCTGCTTCTACCCCTCCCTTTTGGTATATCTGCTATTTGGCTCCCTTTAGAGTCGGCATTATTGGAGAGAGTGTCCAGGATATACGGTTCTAGCTTGGTGATGCTGATGATCATAGCAAATAACACAGCTTCATAAGAAGAGATACTAACATTTCTAGAGAATGCTGGCGGGAATTGGCAAATACACCAAATCAGCCTTAAACTATGTCCACTGACAGGTAAAGGGGTTCACATTGATTATCTCGTGACAACGGCAGCTAAAAAGTGGGTGGGATATATTAGGCAGCAAGTAACCATTTTGTCCTGCAGCTCCTGCGGGCTGTTCCTGGTCTGCAGTGGTCAGGACCTAGCAAATGTGGTCCCAAGGAAGGAAAACCAGTGACAGGATCAAGAGCGGTCAAGCCTCTCGATCCAGCGTTGTGCGCTGGAGTCTCGGCTGTCCCGGGACTCCCTCTCCTCACTGGCTAAGACAGCAGCGGGGGCAACTGGCTCCTGCTGCTGTCAATTGCAGCCAGTGAACCAATGAGAAGAGGGGGCGGGGCTGAGCCATGGCTCTTGTGTGAATGGATACGGAGCAGTGGCTGGGAAGAGCGCATGCTCAGGTGCCCCCATAGCAAGTTCCTTGCTGTGGGGGCACCCCACAGGTGTAAGTGGCCAGGAGCGCTGGTGGGGGAGCTGAGAAGAGAAGGATCAGGGCTGCTCTGTGTAAAACCACTCCACAGAGCAGGTAAGTAAAGACAGGTTTGTTTAAATTAAAAAAAAAAAAAAAAAAAATTAAGCCTTTAGAATCACTTTCAGCTCACCACCCTTTTTATTCTGAACTCTCAGATTTAGAAAAAGCTTAAAAAATTCTGCACTTTGACTGGATGTAGAAGGGAATACAGATTAACAGGTACAACTTATGGAAGATTGACCTCAGGTGATACACAGATGAAACAAGTCACTTACAACCACTTTAAATTGAAAAAAATATATATATATATATTACCACCACACATCATCAGCCGATATTAAATGTACATCTAAGAAACAATCGTTTCCTTCCAAGTGTCAGCAATCAGAAAAGTTCCTCTAAAAAAAACAAAATGTGTGGTTTGTGGTGTAACCACAACAGAGAAGGAGATGGTAAGCCACATCCCAGAGATTGCACCCTGGTCATATCCGACAAGAATGGTGCTCAGAACTTGGTTTACATAACGCCACCCTTTCCTGACCAGAGGTTGTTCATGCCTAGATGGCCCAGTCCAAAATTTATCAGCAACAGACGATCACTTTACTTCGGCATAATGAGTATTCATTTGCAGAATTACATTTTTTATATATTTTTAAAATGATATAGCAGCTTCAATTTGGTAGGCCGTTTCAGTTTTTAAAAAACTGCTATGTATTTCTAATGACATGACAAATGCGCAAAAATATGCCTAACAAACTACATATGTATCCTAGTAATCAGGGGCGGACTGACAACTCATGGGGCCCCGGGCAATAGGGGGAGTGTGTCCTTGTCCACACTCAAAGCACAACAAAAAAAGTCTATAAAAAAAAGCCTATAAAAAAAAAAAAAAGTGTACCAGGGGCATTTCATGGGGCCCCCTACAGACCCCGGGCCCTCGGGCAGTGCTCGAGTGCTTGAATGGTCAGTCTGCCCCTGCTAGTAATAAGTCTAATATTTTAAAAACGCAACCGATTCTGACAGCTTCCCCATTCATTGAAATGGCACCGCAGATGAACATCAAAGCCTGAAGGTGGCAGTGCTCATCTGCAGGCTCTCATTTTTGTCAATAAAGCCTCCAGTCTGGATGAGATGACATCAGCAGAGCTGATCTAGAGGTTGAATGATCCACTTTGATTCGTTCCTGAACATCACAGAGGGGACACCAGCCATCGGTGACAGCCAGGACGGAGAGCAAACAGACATGCAAAATGTTGGCTGCTTGCTCCTATAGGGGAGGTGGTCTATAAATGTATCCTCAGCATTGAGCACAATGCTGGGGAACATTAAGTCTCCATGTACACGGGCGTTATAATAACGCTGGTAATGTTAGCTGTGTAAAGTTGCGTTAAAAAACGGGAGGTTTTCAGCGTTTTTGCATTAGCGTTTAGAAGAAAGAAAAAAGATAACAGAGAGAGAGAGAGGAGAGGGGGGGGGGGGGGGAGGGGGAGAGAGAGGGAGGGAGGGGGAGAGAGAGGGAGGGAGGGGGAGAGAGAGGGAGGGAGGGGGAGAGAGAGGGGAGGGAGGGGGAGAGAGAGAGGGAGGGGGGGAGGGAGGGCGGGAGAGGGAGGGGGAGGGGGGAAGAGAGGGAGGGGGAGGGCGGGAGAGGGCGAGAGAGGGCGGGAGAGGGCGAGAGAGGGCGAGAGAGGGGCGAGAGAGGGCGAGAGAGGGCGCGAGAGAGGGCGAGAGAGGGCGAGAGAGGGCGAGAGAGGGCGAGAGAGGGCGAGAGAGGGCGAGAGAGGGCGAGAGAGGGCGAGAGAGGGCGGAGAGAGGGCGAGAGAGGGCGGGAGAGGGCGGGAGAGAGAGGGGCGGAGAGGGCGGGAGAGGGCGGGAGAGGGCGAGAGGGCGAGAGAGGGCGGGAGAGGGCGGGAGAGGGCGGTGATGGGAGAGGGAGGGAGAGGGCGGGAGAGGGAGAGAGAGGGCGGGAGAGGGGAGAGAGAGGGAGAGAGAGGAGGGAGGGGGGAGGAGAGAGAGGAGGGAGGGAGGGGGAGGGAGGGGGAGGGAGGGCGGGGGAGGGAGGGCGGGAGAGGGAGGGGGAGGAGGGAGGGAGAGGGCGAGAGAGGGCGAGAGGGAGAGGGGGAGAGGGAGGGGGAGAGGGAGGGGGAGAGGGAGGGGGAGAGAGAGAGAGAGAGAGAGAGAGAGAGAGAGAGAGAGAGAGAGAGAGAGAGAGAGAGAGAGAGAGGTGAAGGGGAGAGAGAGAGAAAGAAAAGAAAAATAGGGGTTGTGAGCAAAGGGTCCAAAAACGCTGGTTTGCTGCAATTTACTGCGTTTTTCAGTTAAAAAAACACTCCTCTAGAAACCCACTAGTTCTGGGTTTTTTTTCCAGCCAAAAAAAAGCCCCTGTCAAAAAACACTGATCATAGTTTATGTGGGCATGGACACATAGGATCCCCTCCCTCAGATTGTAAGCTCCAAGGATCAGGGCCCTCCTACCCCTCTTGTATTGTTGCTGTATTGTCTCCTATTGTAAAGCGCTGAGCAAACTGTTGGCGCTATATAAATCCTGTATAATAATAATAATAATAATAATAAGAGAACATGCTGGGGGGGTTTACTGGCTGTAGAAAAAAAAAACATCAAAAGCCAAAAACAGCCGCTGTAAAAACGTCCCGTGTGTGAGAGGACTAAATTGGTTGTAAACCTCAGACATTGAAAATGAACAAAGCATATCCCTGTAAAGTGGGTAGCACAGTGGCTAAATGGTTAGCACTTCCGCCTGGCAGTACTAGGGTCGATTGTTTGCATCACAGACACAGCACCCCCTGCCTGGAGTTTGCATGGGTTTTCCCTGGATACTCTGGTTTCCTCCCAAACTCCAAAGACATTTACTTATTTTTTTTTTATTCCAGGTACTTATATAGCGCCATCAATTTACGCAGAACTTTACATATATATTGTACAGTCACATCAGTCCCTAACCCTCAAGGGGTGTACAATCTAAGGTCCCTAACTCACATTCATACATACACATACTAGGGACAATTTAGACAGGAGCCAATTCACCTACCAGCATGTCTTTGGAGTGTGGGAGGAAACCAGAGTACCCGGAGGAAACCCACACAGGCACAGAGAGAACATGCAAACTCCAGACAGGTGGTGCCGTGGTTGGGATTTGAACCAACATGCTGGTTAATTGGTGCCTGTCTACAGTGCCTTGAAAAAGTA